AACTGGATTGTAACACTAAAGTTACTAATACAGAAGCTAGTAAGAGGACATTTTCAAAAAGATTTAGAAGTTCTGTTAGCTCCATGGAGCCAAAGAACCCATGGGAATGTACATTGCCACACTGAACTTAGTAGTTTCAACCAATATCTTAACAAAGAGATGCAAACAATTCCTAGAACTACTTAGGTTTCTGAATCACCAACAACTTAGTAAAGACAGTTATCTGCTAGCTTTGCTACAGAACTACACCTCAGGAAGTATTAGCACTTCTGTTGGACCTATTGGAAATGAAATGCTGTACACAAACTTTACTTAAAAACTCATTGGGTCCAGTGTGATAGCCTAGTGGATAAATCCTCACTCTGTATCCACGGGATCCCATATGCAAGCCAGTTCATATCCCACTGCTCCACTTCCCATCCAGATCCCTGCTTGTGGCCTGGGAGAACAGTAGAGGATCACCGGATGTCTTGAGACTGCACCTACATATGATACCTGGGAGAAGCTCCTGGCTCCTGGCTTTGGATTGGCTCAGCTCTGGCCATTGCAGCCACTTGGGGAGTAAACCAGCAAATGGAATTTCTTTCTTCCTGTCTCTCCTTCTCTCTATATATATCTACCTTTCCAATAAAAAAGGGTAATATACGGCTTGAAAGAAAGCTCATCATCTAAAATGCCTTAGTATTTACTGAAACTATGAGAAATTCAACAGAAAAAAAAATCTTTTAGTAGGCTTAACCTGTACAGGGGTGAAAATGGGAAATAAACATTAAGCATAACACAGAATTTAAAACGCTGCAAAACATACAGCAAAGTAAAAATAAGACTTTGTGTCCCAAACTAAAATGCATTTAGTAAGACTTATCCAGTGGATCTGTGTTTTTAGATGAGCAGTGTTGCCTCAGGTGTCACTCCAGTTAATACCTCAGTCCAGGAATCATGAAAGCAAATGGCTTTTTACCTTATCAATTGGGTAAAATGTACCAAATACCAGCGCATTTTATTTTTTTTTTTTATCAATTTGTTAACACTTTAGGACAGTACTTGAATTTCTTTAGATTCCCAAGTAGGAACTCAGATCGTTTTATTTTACTCTTAGAAGCCCCAACTAAGTCTGGCCACGTGTATGAGATTTCATCAGTTCTTGATAGTGGTCTTCATATTCCCACACGGTCCTACGCACCTAGTAGACTCAGCTGAGCTAGACTGAAGCATCTGAGACATTATATATATGTGAATATAATTTTGGAATAGCGAAATATAAGGTAGATTCCAAGATGAATGAGGGAAAGCCTGTAAACATTCATTTAACTTACAGATGACAGAAACTATAATGATAACAAAAAATCCAGGGTACTTTCTAGTTGAAATTTACTTGGATCATGCCACACAGAAATTAGATGAAGATACAGATATACAGAAATACTCACTGAAAGTTATACAAAATTACATGTTTAAGCATACTAAACTAGCCCAGCCCAAACTAGAATATATACAATCACAAGAGTGCTTAGCAATTAGAGAATCATTGAGAATACAAGTTCCTAGTGATGACTATAGCTGATAATAAATTTTTACTTACCTCCATAATTTAGGAATCATGAAAAGTCAGGAGCCCAGAATATAAGTTAGACGTAGCTAGGATAGAAAACAGAATAATGTTTCCTGTTCACCATTAACCAATTGGAGGTTATACATTCACTGGACTTGGATTAATCAAGCGGCTCAAAGATGATGATGGTAAACAGTCCAAAAGATCTTGATACATCCAGAAGATGTATTCACCAAAATGTACAAAGGCTGTTTTGGAAATTCAGATTAACATTTTAAGTTTCTGTACCTATTAACAAAATGCAACATGGCAAAATTTAAAAATGTATCTTGATTATGGTAACTTATGATTAGGCAAACAGAAAGTTACTTTGACTTGTAAATAGAAACAAAATAGAAACAAAACAAGGTTTCACTCCTGGAAAATACAAATATTTGCATTCATCAGACTTTTTTAAAGTGTTGAAATGGTCAATTTAGAAAACTTCTACAATTTAAGCAGCACCATTATTCAAGCAGTGCTTAATTCCCCCCCCCCTTTTTTTTTTTGGCTAGTAGTTTCTTCAAACTGAAAACAATGTAAGATGCTAAAAAGAATAAGACCTTTGACAGAACCTTATATTCCTGCTAAGGCTGTTTCTCCATCAGAAACAAGTATTCAAACAAGGAATCTCAATGATCTAAACCTATTTTTGGCCAACTTCCGGAATTTCTTGTTAAATCTTTGAAATGCTACCGTTGCACTCTTGGAAAACTTTTCTTCCTGGTTTTCAAATTTCTGTTTATTATTACAGCTCTTCAGCCAGACTGCCAGGTCTTTGTGCTGTACCATTTCTTGAAACTAGAGACCAGCACACTTCCCCCAATTCAATTATTGGCCTTTCCATTTGAGAAATTAAAGGCATGTCAACTTTATAAAGTTTTGACTCAATTATTTTGACTTTAAGTTCTCAATTCAGTTCTCTCAGTTTAATACTGGGAAAGACATTCATTTTCTTAAAAGAGATGGTAAGGTTCAAGAATATTAACATTTTTAATCACTTATTCTCATAGTAAAAAGCAAGTACATGAGGAGATTTTCTTACCAGGCAAAAATAAGGATTTGACAATAAGGGGAAAAAGGGAGACTTTCAAAAACTCAATACTGGCAATATTTAAGATTATGTTTTAATCAAATAGCTTATTTACATAAATAGGTTTACAAAAAAAGCAACAACAGGATCCTTGGTTCTAAAAGAAGAAATTAAGTCAGCATGTCTACTACTATCAACTTTATATTAGTAACTCAAAATTATCTCTACGGACTGACTGATATATAATTCCTGTTCAGAACATCCAGCAACCTTTAACCAAGACATGCAAACTGAATGGCTCAGTATCACCATAAATGCAGTATTACAAAATTGGACCCAACATATTTCCCTTCCAATTTTTTTTTTTTAAGAATCACTTTTGTTCTTCCACCTTCACTCCAATGCCGCTATTCTGTTCAGGTTGTTTTTATGTATAGGCTATTACAATAGTCACAAGACTATCTCAGAAACTTCTCTATGTGGTATTGCCACATTTAACTTTCAAAAAGTCAATTTCCACTATTTTACTGCAAGAAGCTATAATGTCTCCCTTTTCCTTGCTAAGTCAAGACTTATCCTCTAATTGGTTTTCCAGGCAAAAGCCTACTAACCTCTCTAACCTAGTTATCCCAGTTTATGTAACCTTTGCCTCAAGTCTTATGGCACAAAACCCAGGTTACTTTTTGGGGAATACTGCATTCTATGTTGGCTTAAATTCTTTCTTACAAGCAAGAAAAGTTCACTATTTGACAACTCAACACACCTTAATTTATAAGCATGCAGGCCACAAATTACAATGAAGACATTTCTATTGATAGCAAAAACAACTGTCCAATATCCCTGTAAACTCCCAGCAACACTGATGGTTTTATGCCGAAGGCATCACTGCATGTTGCATTTATTTTCCTCTACAAAACTGAGCTACTGTCATGCACCCTGCTCGGGGCAGACACTGACTTTCTTCTTCCAGCCTCAGTCCCTTCTCTTATTCCCTCGAATTTAGTCAGTTCTCACCTTTTTTTTTTTGAGGGGAACAGCAATGGTGCCAAAATTGATATCTGGAAAATAAGAGATAAACTAAGTTAAGAAGCCGAAGTTGCTTTCCAATAGTAACTATTACCTAACTGCTGCATTCCTGATTTTTGGCTAAAAGGTAAATGTAACTAACAACCATCCTCAAAGCCAAACTCAAACCAACAGACTTCATAAAACATATTTCATACACCAAGGGGAAAACAGATATAAATACCTAATGTGTCCAAATTAAAAGCTCTAAGAATATATAAAAATTAATCCTTATTCATATATAAGTATGGTTTAAATCAGCTATCCTAGCAGAAAATAAAATGCTACATATTTGACCCACAATTCTGCCTTTTCCTATTTCTGAAGTCTTTTTTTGTGTGACTTGGTTTCTTATAAGTGTCCAAGATGGTGGTGGGCATGTTGGCACAGGGATTCAGACACTGCTTGGCAGGCCTGCAGCCCATATGCATGTGCCTGAGTCCGAGGGCTGGCTCTGCACTTGATCCCATACTCTGGACAGCACAAGGTGACAACTCCAACACGTGTGTGGGAAACCCAGCCTGGGATCTGGGGTCTTTGCTTTGGCCTTTCCCAACCCTTGGTATTTCACCCATTATGAACAAGCAAGCAAGAACTAAGTGTATCTATGTATTTCAAACAAATCAAAACAAAATTATTTTAAAACTGTCTGAAAAGTTTGAGAAAAGCTGTTTCATTCGATATGGTGGTTCTAGTTAAGCACAGGTTTTCAGAAACAGTTCATTGATTTCAGAGACACTGAAGAATTACAAGCAGATATTCAATAATTTTGTTTCTGTAATCATGGAAATTGGCATTAATTTTTTTTTTTGTAGCACCAGAAATATTTACTGACTGTTAAAAAATATACCTTGAGGCCTGGCATGGTAGCCTAGTGGCTAAAGTCCTCGCCTTGAATGTTCTGGGATTCCATATGGGCACCAGTTCTAATCCTGGCAGCCCTGCTTCCCACCCAGCTTCCTGCTTGTGGCCTGGGAAAGTAGACAAGGACGGCCCAAAGCCTTGGGACCCTGCACTGGTGTGGGAGACCTGGAAAAGGCTCCTGGCTTCAGATTGGCATAGCATCGGCTGTTGCGCTTGCTTGACAAGTGTATCATCAAACGGAAGATCTCTCTCTCTCTCCTCCTCCTCTCTGTATATTACCTTTCCAATAAAAATTTTAAACTTATATATATGCGTGTGTGTGTGTGTGCCTTGTATTTTGGAAGGCAGAAAGAGATATAAACAGAACACCTACCTGCTGGCTTACTCATCAAATGCCTGCAATGGCCAAGTCTGGAAATACCAATCCAGGTTTCCCATCTAAGTGGCACTTCTGTCTCCCAAAGGGTCTGTAATAGTAGGAAGCTGGAGTCAGAGGTGAGCCTGGTAATGGAACTGATATTCTGATATGAGTTGTAAGCATCTTGACTGCTGGCTCAATGATGCCTTGTAAAAAGCAAACAGCTATTACATTTTGTGGTATTTTACATATTGGTAGGTTTAGAATTACCAATTATTATTTTTAATGGCTCTCAAAAAGGAATCTCAGTTTCACAAGCCTGATTCTTTCATCCACAAGCTGCTGGCTTCAGCTGGAATAATTGTGATATTATGTTATCTTAAAACTCCAGGCATGTATAGAATGAGGGGAGACTTAAAAAGTAAAGAATGAGCCTAGAGAATCTGTATTTATCTAGCTGGCACTCAGCCTTTTCAGATTATACTGTTTAGCCCTAAGCATATGCCTGCTGATTTTCAGCAAGCATCTATTATGTTTAAGATCATGCTGGGCTTTACACACAGAGAGACTAAGAAGGCCTCTTTCTATCGTTTCAAGTTGGGTAGGAAACCCAGTGGATAGATGCAATGCTTTTGCTTGAGGATAACAGGTGGACTAGGAAAATTTCATTAAGGGGGAAGATAGCCTAAGAAGATTTAGACAGTTGAATATTAGGGAAAGGACACTTTAGGAGTAAATAAGTTGAGCTAACATTTAGCTGTATATCAGGGAAAGGTTTGAAAAGGATTCTCTTTGGATAATACATGATCATTCGCATGACTGATTTTATCTATTACCCCAAAATCCGATGGGCAATTATGCCACCTTTTTGCTCTGATTTTTCACAAGTCCATACTGATTGAAAATTTTGTCTTATTTCAAAACAGGTTCCTTTTCAATTATTTGCAAGGTTTTTCTCCCTATCAAACCATCATACCTTATTCTCGAAGGTCTTCAGACAATCTGAATACTCTTATTTTCTGTGATTAGCAATGAGTGCACCTTATGCAAATGAAGGAAAACAATTTAAATAAATTATATTCATTTCTCTACCTGTCTCTTAAAACCCAGTCTTTGCCTTCAATCTGATGTTTCTACCTTATCCTATTCCTTCCTGTTTGGGCATGTCATGGTTCATGTCATTTTTCCTACTTGAAAGTCATTCTTTGATTTCATCATAATCAGTCCTATTCATTTTTAAGCCCAACTCATTTTCTACAGAAAGGTTCATTTCCTCTGAGTGGCTATAAAACTTCCAGTTGAAAAGACAGTTTGCCTTCTGTTATACCCTATCGGTTGCTTGTATGTTAGTATAATATTCCCTTTTAGGCTAAAAACTCTCTTCTTATGGAACCATCTTTTGTGACTCTTACACTGCTTGGCATAGAATGAATATACTGTTAACAATTTTGATTATTGGGCCCAGTGCAGTAGCAGAGTAGTTAAAGTCCTCACCTGCTCCCTGCTTGTGGCCTAGGAAAGCAATGGATGGATGCCTAAAGCCTTGGGATCCTGCACCCACAAGGGAGAAATGGAAGAAGTACCTGGTTCCTGCCTTCCGAATGGCTCAGTTCTAGCCATTGTAGCCCTTACGGAGTGAACCAGAGGATAGAAGATCTTTCTGTCTCTCCTCTTTGAAAAACGACTTTTGCAACAAAAATAAGTAAATCTTATTTTACCCAAATAATGCCAACTAAAATTCTTCAGGTATTTTATTTTCTAAGGCATTTAAAAATACCATTTTCCCAGCGGCATGGCCTAGTGGCTAAGGTCCTCACCTTGAAAGCGACTGGGATCCCATATGGGCGCCGATTCTAATCCCGGCAGCCCACTTCCCATCCAGCTCCCTGCTTGTGGCCTGGGAAAGCAGTCGAGGACGGCCCAATGCTTTGGGACCCTGTATCGGTATGCGAGACCTGGAAGAAATTCTTGGTTCCTGGTTTCAGATCGGCGCAGCACTGGCAGTTGTGGTCACTTGGGGAGTGAATCATAAGACGGTACATCTGATTGCCTCAGATGTTCCTCTCTGGCTCTCCTCCACTCTGTATATCTGACTTTGCGATACAAATAAAAAATAAATCTTTAAAAAAATACTACTATAATGTTTGATTTTGATGAAGACTATCTTCTTAGCTATTGTCTTTAAAAGCTCAATCCCTTCCTCATTAAAACTGTATATGCATATGAATAAAACTTCCCTGCTTATACAGTACAGTTATGATCAAAGCCAGGAGTCTTTTTTGATAATTCATTCTCCTCAGACAGAATGAGTTTGGGCAATAGCAGAGATTTCCAAGTACATGGCCTTGCTGCACTAACAGAGTGTGACTGAAGAGGCTGGTCAGTTGAGCACATAATTTGTTTAGTATAGAATAAAATTAAATTTTGCTTAAAGAATAAAATCCTTTAAACTGAACCATTAGTTAACTTGAACTAATCACTTCCACTCTACTTTTTAAAGAAGTCAACCTTAGATTGTACTCAAATGCAGCTATAAGGCATATGAAACATTTATCACAACTCTTAAAACTTCCACACCAATTTTGTATTAAATAATACAAAACCTGATAATAAGACCCTTCCAGGTTAATGGTATTCTGTAGACTTTTTTTTATTAAAGCAGGAAAACATGCCGTAATCTTTTCTAATGATTCAAATAAGATTTAACATTGTAAGCCTCAGTGAACTATTCAGCACCCCAGATTTCTCATTACAAATAAATGCTCTGATAACACTTTTGACACTTATTATTACCTTTTTTTTTTTTTTTTTTAAACTTCCAATGCCTCTCCTACAACTTCCATTGGTGGTAGCTTTCCTTTCGGTTAACCATTATCTTGTACAGATAAGGTGTCAATATGACAAAAAAAAAAGGGGGGGGGAATATTCTTTACTACAGTGGAAAAGTTAAACATAATTTCCAACATGATATTGAATTCTCCACATAAGTCTACAAAGTTATGTGATTTTTTTCCTTTTGATTTTATAATACATCAGTGTGCTAAAATCTTGCAAAATGTATATACTGGAGGCTCACTCTGCAGGAAAATTTAGAACAGAGCCAAATTCAATCTCTTAGAATTTAAAATCCTGGAGACATGACAACCTCCTTGCTTGAAGCCCTACTAAAGTTGAGCCAATTTTTAAGTATTTTAGCATGACTGTACTCAATTTCTCTGGAACAGTTTAAGCTTTTGCTTACATTGCCATTACAAAGTTACTTAAAATTTTTTAGCATAATATTCACCTGAATTTCATTCGGACTGGTACTGTGCACATCCCATTTCAGATCATCAGTTCAAGTACTGGCTACCCACTTTTTCTTTTTTGTTAATATTTACTTTCACTTGAAAGGCAGTTAGAGATGTTCCATCTGCTGGTTCATTCCCCAAATGAATGGAAGATCTCTATCACTCTGCCTCTCAAATCAATCAGCCAATGAAGAAATCTTTGCAGAAAGAGAATATTATGCTGCACTATAACTTCTGCTTTATTTCATTGTCTCCTTAACTAGTAGGAAAGTTTCAGCTTCTTATACATGTTCAATTGATATTTTAATAAATGTACCCTGATGCCATTGAAGAGATTTTAAAACAGTGATTGCCTCAGAATCAAATGACTTGTTAGGTGAACAAATAGCTGTACACATATTAATGAGTAAGAATTAATTATGAAATGCAGCTAAAACTTAAAATGAGAACATAGCAGCAGAAAATATAGATTCTTATGTCTAGAATCATCAAACCAGTGTAATGGAGACCTTGCACTTTATTTTGGTTATTATTCTCATTTATGACATCTTTTAAGAATTTTAAGCTATCTTTAAACACACCAAATCTTATCAGTAAATTGGAATCAAATATACACTAGAAAGATTTAATTAAAACCTCATTTTACCATTTTTAATTTCTCTTAACTAGGAAATTAAATAGACTATTAAAAGTAAACATTTTGAAAAGAGAAGGCAGTAAGATTGTCAATAGTAGAATTTAGAAAGTTTCGTTAGACTTACCTTACCAGTTACACAAAACATACTTCAATCATTCAGTATGAATTAAAATAGATGCTGGATATATATTTGTGTATCAAAAAGTCTAACATCACTATTTATGCAAGGAAACTGTTAAAATATATTACATGCCATAAATTATAAAATTATTTTTTAGGAAATAAATGAAAACATCAACACATAAACTTAGCTTTTGGAATTCACAATTACTTACAAGGCTCTCCATAGCTAATTATTTTGTAGATGTGAATTCAAAATTAAGTTTTAAGTTATTTCATTGACTATTTTTAGGCCTATTTTTCAAGTCTTTGGAAAAATTCTATTGAGAAGTTAACACAAGCAAAGTATTGGCACTGTGCCAGGCACTGTAGGTGCTCTGATGTCAGATATGAATCCTATTTGAATGCTACAATATTTTAGGGTTTTTTGTTTATCTAATAAAGAAGAGGCTATTGAGTGTTATCTGGCAACAAGAAGCTAATTTTAGAAAACTACTTGAAAGCAAAAGTTCATCTTAGTAGTCAAACATGTCAGAAAAATTAAGGAATACACATTAACTTCGAAATACCCAAATATTTTACTGATACTTAGGTCATGTCTATTTTGAGAGGAATTAATCATCAAGAACACAAAGGCTCTGTGGGACAAAATCAATCCAAGAGGTTACATGTAACAAGTCAGGTTACTGAGGGCAGAGCTTAATTTGGAAACACACTTAGTGATTTAAACAAAAATTCAGGAAACAAATTAGTTTCCACACCCTGCAAATCTGAACGTCAAAAGAACAACAATCAATTTGGTAGGGCAGCAGAAAAAAAAAAAATCCAGCTAGTCAATATTTTAAAAATACTCCCAAGCCCTGAATTTTAACATTTACATAGCTGAGATTATCTTCCAGTATGCTTATAACTCTCAGAACCCATTCTGGGAACCCATCTTTGTCTACTAAAGAGACAACTTTTCATACAATTTACAACAGTTTCTCTTGTCATTGTTGCATAGGAGATAAGTTTTGTGAAATCTGTTCAACTAGCATGGCATATCAGTAAGACATAAAGAACCAAGAATGTCCTGCTAACACTGTCAGTTCTCCCCAAATCAAAACATTTAACTTGACTCAACCTAGGACAAATTATCAATGACCTGCTTTCAATTCTGCAGCTACACTTTGGTACTGAAGAATTTTAATTGGAAACTGATACATTACTGAGTGTTTGAGGTTACTGTTATTACTATGGTCCCCAGCAGGCATAAAGAAACTAGTGATTGCGACTTGCCTGAAGTCCAGTTCCTAAACTGATAATATTTTAAAGTGTCTTAAGGTTTGCAACTTGGATGTTCCATTTAGTTTGTGTGCCTTTTTGTTATCAAGGTGCATCTCCTCTACTGGACTTTGACAACGATACAGCATGTTTCAGTGAGATGACAGTAAGACATAGTGTCTTGGCATCTTAAAAACCACCACAACCAAACAGAAGCATAAACAGAACCATAAGCTGTGTAGACTTACTCAAATAGGACCATAAGTTGTGTAGACTTATCTGGATGCTTGGGCTGCGGCAGTTACCTCAAGGAAGAGCTCTGATTCACATCTACATGTGCGGACGACAAATAAGAGCAAGAACATATGCACACATCTCAGTGTTCCTTAAACATGTTCTAAATGCGTGTTTTCTTGGTAATGAACATGGACCACCACAGAATACCTGAGAACACAATTTGTGCTTGATACAGTATTTCCATATAGATACATCTTCAAAACAGTCTTGAAATACAAGTTGCAAAGGAGTCAGTTATTAAGCTCTAGTACTTCTTCCCCTTCTAGATCCAGTTCTGGAAAGCCTGTTTTCTCCACTTTTTCAAAGTGGAAACACTTAACACAGTAAGTAAAAGGTCTGGATTTATGGTGGCAGAGGGATTAAACAAGAAAATGACATGACTCAAAGCACCTCAGAAAAGGGCAATGTCAAAGTGTCCTGTCATTTTGAGAACTTTATGGCCTAATGTTCACTGCCTTGTTAGTTCTCTGAAACTGTAGAGTAAGTCCAAGAGCATCAGCTGTGCAATTAAGCCACCCAAGCTTGAATCCTGACACCCCTACCAGGTATACTACAAGCCATACTATTTCCCTACGCAATTTCCTTGCCTCTAAATGAGAATACAGATGGTTGTGAGGACTAAATAAACTTAAATTTATGCCAAACAAATGTGATACCTTATGATTTACAATAATAAAAGCATCCAAAGTTTGAATGGTTTGTATACATGTTAGAAAAACCAACAAGCTTGCTCGGTATTAAAATATTTTGATAGATTTAAGTCACTTTCAGTAAAATTACTAACTTAAAACACCAATTTGCTGGCCAATTTCTCAGAGAAGGAAATATAAAAATGCCAGAGATGATATTCATAATTACAATTCTTTCTTACACCAGGGTACACATACATGAGTTTTAAGACTACCCAGGGGGCCAGGCATGGTAGCCTAGTGGCTAAAGTCCTTGCCTTGCATGCGCTGGGATCCCATACGGGGACCAGTTCTAATCTCAGCAGCCCCAATTCCTATCTAGCTCCCTGCTAGTGGCCTGGGAAGGCTGTCGAGGTCAGCCCAAAGCCTTGGGACCTTGCACCTGTTTGGGCTCCTGGCTTTGGATTGGCACAGCTCTGGCTGCTGCAGCTGCTTTGGGAGTGAATCAATGGATGAAAGATCTTCCTCCCTGTCTCTCCTCTTCTCTGTATATCTGACTTTCCAATAAAAATAATTTTTTTAAGGAGTATCAAGCAAAGACTAAAGGGTACTTGAACTGTGAAAATAAAGAAATCTGTATTGAAAGATGTCATAATTATTTTCTCAACCAAGCCACATGATTACTGAATGGTCTCAACAAGGATTTATGTTCAAGACTAGCATACAATACAGAATATTTCCTGCAAACTTGATGCCAGAGTTGACAACTCATTGCTGATTTGAGAGTTAGACTATCTCCCTAGAAATATTCTAACAAATAAACACCTAACATACACCCTGTACGCTAAGAAATGTTGCAATTAAAGGTAAACTCTGTACTTCACTACAGAAAGAAAATCCTGTTAAGTTCTAAGTCCAAGGAACAGCTCCAGTCTTCATATTCAAGTATTCCAGAATACAGAATATCAAAGAATGTCCTGTTTCACACTGTTAACAGTTCTCACCAAGTGAAAACTATATTAAACATTTTGGTGGAATTGCTTCTTTCCCATTAAGTTTATCCAAGTCCTTCAGACTTCTTTGAAGTCCTAACAGGGAACGAAGTACTTAATAATTCAGTTTAATACTAGACTGGCAACAGTTGTCAAGGATTCCTTTTGAAAACAAATAGCAATATATAAACAGCTTTTAGAAATACTTAAAAATTTATTTTCAGTTCTATTTCATAGGTCTCAAACAAATGATACAAACTCCTGAAAACCTTTTACTTCACTTAGTGTCATTTCTACTAACAATGTTTTGAGATAAAAAGTATTCTAAAATTTAACATCCAGAAATGTCTACCATTTTCTTTATCCCCAAACTGTCCTGTTATCAAAAGGTTTTAAGCAAAGGATTAATTCAAGCTGATGTGCTTTTCTTCATCTCACGAGATGCCTTTTAAATCTCATTGACCAACACCATTTCTTTTTCATCAATTTCTAGGTCTATGAATTATTTTCATAAAGCATTCACAGAAAGTAGGCTAATTAACATTTGGCTACCTGAAAGTGAAACCTGCTTTGGCCTACGATGCAAGAATAAATCTTGGTCTGGGAAAGCAGTCAAGAACGGTCCAAAATCTTGGGACCCTGCACCTGCTTTGGAAAACCTGGGCTCCTGGCTTTTGACTGGTGCAATTCCAGCTGTTGTGGCCACTTGAGGAGTGAACCAACAGATGGAAGATCTTCCTCTGTGTATATCTGCCTTTCAAAAAAAAAAAAAAAAACAGCTTTAAAAAAACTGGAATAAAAATAAACCAAGGTACAGTTTTGCTTTTACACATTTTTTTCAAATCTACTCCCTAAAGATTTATTTCATCATTATTATAAACTCACATATACAGAGAGGAAAATCTTTAGTCTGTTGATTCATGCCCCAAGTGGCTGCAATAGCCAGAGCTGTGCTGATTCGAAGCCAGGAGCCCAGATCCTCTTCTGGATCTCCCATGCAGTATACTGTCACTTGTGATATTTTAACATCTCATATTTTTCACATTCTATCAATGTACTGCAGTTTGGTCCACCTATTATACATCAGACCCAACATAAATCACACACCAAGGCTTTCAACAAATAATGGTTTGGGGAAACAAGCGTTTATTAACGAACAGGAATACTTTAACCTGAATAAATGAACAATTTGCATGTATATTTCAAAATGCAATAAATCTTTACCTATGGACTCAATTACATTCCCAACCAAACTGTGATTACACAAAAACCAAGATCACAGGCTAAGTGCAGTAGCCTAGTAGCTAAAGTCCTTGCCTTGCTTGTGTTAGGATCCCATACAGACACGGATTTGTATCCCAGCTGCTCCACCTCTCATCCAGCTCTCTGCTTGTGGCCTGGGAAAGCAGTGGAGGACGGCCCAAAGCCTTGGGACCATATACCCATGTGAGAATCCTGGAGGAAGCTCCTGGCTCCTGATCAGCTCCAGCTGTTGAGGCCAATTGGGAAGTGAACCAGCGGATGGAAGATCTTTGTCTCTCCTCTCTGTACATCTGCTTTTCCAATAAAAATAATAAACACAAAACATCAAGACCACCTGCATTCACCACAAACAAGGACAAGTACAAAGAAGGAATTGTTATTTAATTAATATAGTAAGCATTTGAAAGCTTAAAATGATCTGAAATGCTTTTCCTGAAAGGATACCTGATAGAACCTTCTAGAATAAGTTATACTACTGATTAAAAAGCGACAGCATAATTATTACAAACCCAAAACTTTAGTTTTGGGTGTTTTAACTATATTGATTTTTCAAAGGGTGCCAACAATACTCATTAAAATGTTGACAGAAGTGATATAAGGTCTAACTTGATTTCTGTACTGTTTTGGTTCCTTCCTCCCTAAACAGAGGCAAATTTCTAGACCTCCAAATAAGTTTCTTAAGTCAACTAGTCAAAGTATTTCTCAGGTTATATACTTTCCTTTCTAGATAAACTGTAAAATAACAATATGTCAGAAAAACAGGGTAAAAAAAAATCTATTTTTGCTTAATCAAAATTCCAAATATTTACTAAGCATCTACTAATGCTGTACATTTGATAACCATTTCATTTCTATTTTGAGCACATTTCAGCAGTTATGGCCATCAGGTAAACAAGAAGCATTTTCTATACCCTTAAACTATTATATCTTGAATAATTTTAATTTTGTGCACTTACACAGTATGTTATAAAACAGATCATAAAATGAAAATACATAAAGATCAGATTCAAAGAAAACTTCTGGAGTAGATGACTGATCAACCACTGAAGACACTGCTTTGGACAGCTCAATCTTCTATCAGAGCTTGGGTTTAAGCCATGATCCACTCCAGATTTCTTTCCTGTTACTCTGCATCCTGGGAAGGAACAGGTACCAGCTCAGGAAACTGCCTGCTACCCAGATAGGAAACCTATTTTCAGTTCTTCACTTCTGGCTTCCAAATGGCTGTTTTAACTATCTGCAACATGAAACACCAGTTGGGTAGGGTTTTTCAAATGAAATAATTCTCTCACATTGGGGGGACAGCCAGGAATACACTTCCCTATTAGTTCTTTCCAAGTAGATGATTTTTTTAAAAATTTATTTTATTTGGGATTCCCCCCAAACTTCCACCTCCCAACAAAGTAGATGATGTTGCTTCTCAGCCCCAGGACAGTAACACATCAGGGTAGGTAGGATGTAAACCCATTAATTCAAATATACAACTAGTAGGGTCTGTTACTACTTACTTGCCTTTTCACTTATTTGAAATGAAATGTTTTGCCTTTTTTTGGTTTCTATGTCTGTATAAGTTCAGAAAATTTTAATTTCTTTTTAACAAAAATTCATTATTTTTAAAACTGAAAGTTCCATTGCATTATCAAGAATTTATAACATAGATCATTTTTATATTTCCTTAGTTTATTAGTGTAGTTTCAAAATTGTAACACCTATTTCTTTACCTACTTCTTTTCTTATACTTAGTTTTCAACATTTTCAGGGCTGTAAGACTGGTGAAATGACATTAAAATCAACTGATCAAGAACTCAAAATGATTCTTGAATTCCTTTTCAACACTGCTTTAAATAAGCAGAATAAACTTTCCCTGAAACTAATTTTAAAATAACCCAATGTTTAAATTATTTGCTCAATTGTCTCCATAACTATTTCTTCACTACACTTTCTCAACTATTAGTTTTAAGATAACATTTTAGATCTACATTAATAAAGGCTTAATGCTCCACTAAACAACAGCTTAACAATCAACAAGGAAATCAGCGAATGTTACAAACAATACTTGAAATAATTTATTTGCTCATATTTCATAATGGTTATAAAATCCTCAAAGCTATTGTGGTACATAATTCCTATCAATTTTTTTTGATAAAAATTTAAAACAAAGGTTGATAGAACATTGTATTTACAGCAAAACTGAAACAGACATTTAATTTTGTTTTATATTTAAGCTATCATATCTGGTATCTGTCCAGCTTGTTTCATTCAACATGTCTTCCAGGAACAACCATAATGCTGCAAAAAATAAATTTCTTCATTTCACAGCATAATATTCCATTGTGTAGACACTCTAGATTTTTAAATTCACTTGTATAATGATGGAAACCTTGGGCAATCCCGTATTTGGGCTACTGTGATAGATATTACAAACACAGTGAGAGAAAATATTTGCTAGGAATATTTCTGACAAAGGATTAATATCCAGAATATGTCAGCAACTAAAAAAAAAAAAATTCAACGACCAATCAGTTTAGGAAATGAGCAAATGATGTGAGTAGCTTAAAAAAAATCAATAGCCAACAAATATAGGAAAAAATGCTCATCTATCACTAGCCATCAGAAAAAACAAATCAAAATCACAGTGAGACATCACCTCACTCACCAATTACCCAAAAGACAGATCAACAAACGCTGGCAAAGATGGACTCTTGCATATTGTTAGTGGGCATGCAAATTAGCATAACTACTGGGGAAAGCAGTATCAAAGTTTCTTTAAAAACTAGAAATAGATTTGGTGTATGATGCAGCAATCCCATTACTGGGCATATGCCAAAGAAGGCAGGAACATATTATCACTTCTAAAGTTGCTCAACGCAGAATTCCAGTGTATAATTTTGAAGGCAGTGATTTCTTGGTGGTAAGGCTGCTTCAGTTGTTACTTTTCAAGAATTTCTCCACTTCAAAAACCAACACAAAACAACTTTCTCCATCACAAACATCTTCATTACTTATAGTCATAATCTCTTCCACAAGACTTACCTTTCAACCATTGTAAACCAATGATAAGTTCAACATAATTTTATTCATATTACTTGATACTTCACTCATTTAATCATGAACATTTAAAAAATATAATTTACCAAAGTAGCTATAAAACAATCTTCTAACCAAATTAACCAGCCTTTATTAGACACTTTAAAATTTTTTGCTAGTCTTTTAATATTATCAGTACTAGCATAAACACACAAGTTATTATCTTAATTTTTTAAGAGTCATTTTCATTGGAAAGCCAGATATACTGAGAAAAGGACAGATCTTTTGTCCACTGGTTCACTCCCCAAGTGGCTGTAACAGCTGGAGATGAGCCAATCCGAAGCCAGGAGCCTTTTTTGGGTCTCCCATGTGGGCACAGGGTCTCAAGCATTTGGGTTGTCCTCTACAGCTTTCTCAGGACATAAGCAGGGAGCTGGATGGGAAGTGGAGCAGCTGGGAAATGAACCAGCACCCATACGGGACCCTGGCACATGCAAGGCAAGGACTTTAGCTACTAGGCTGTGCTGGGCCCAACGTTTTTGGATGAATTTTGCTGCTTAAAAATGGCAGAAAATATGGCCCGGATCAATGGCTCAGTGGCTAAATCCTCACTTAGTATGCACCATGATCCCATATTGGAGCTGGTTTGTGTATGGGTTGCTCCATTTCCCATCCAGCTCCCTGCTTGTGGCCTAAGAGCAGTGGAGCATGCCACAAAAGCCTTGGGACCCTGTATCCTCATTGGAGTCCAAGAAGCAGCTTCCAGCTCCTGATAGGTTCAGCCCCAACACTTGTGGCCACTTGGGCAGTGAACCGGTGGTCCCTGCTATTCTTTGGATCCCTGCTATTCTCTGTAACATCTGTCTTTCCAACGAAAGTAAATCTTAAAAGGGGGGAGGGGGAAGGAAATGAAAGTCTCTTGCTGTGTTAAAAATCTAGCCAGTTCACTGGTGAACTAGCTGATGCAAGACCTTTCTCTCTGCCTCTCATTTTCTCTGTAAACTCTGTCTCTTCAATAGTAAATCTTAAAAGTAAATACTGAATACAAGCAAGAAATAATCAAGTACTGAATTATGCCATTACATCTAAGGATAGAGGGATAAATGATAACTGTGGCTCATTTGGGTAAATGTATACCCAGAGCAAAATCAATGTCTCTTGGAGTCATCAGCACAGACTCCAGCTAAAGTGAACAAGTTGAAAACAAATTCAGAGCTCTCAAAGCACAATTTGTAAAATCCCTGATTATATTTAATATTATTTTAAAAGTCATTTTTAACAACCAACTCATTTATTCATTTTGTTTGTACTCTAAATGATTTCATATGGAAACTGCAACCTTGAATCAGAATTGTAAATCTACCTTATCCACAAAGATGAAATAGGCTGACCTACATGAAACCGTCACAGTTATCTCACAGAAGTGTAGAAAACTGAACCTGGATTAGCTAAAAGCTTAAGTAACTGCAAAATAAATATCAGGCTCCTAAAACTCTTTGATCCTCTCAGTGACTATTTTTTGCATATGTCATCACAGAAACACACACACTACCCTACTGTTTCTTTTATATATCAAATAATTTTAACCTTAGTCTTATCTGTCTGGAAGATTCTTGTAACAGTTACATGGAGTGGTCCTTTAATTGCTTTTGCTTAAGTGTAATTTTTCAACCATACTGTTAAAAATATACTAATAATGCAGATATGAACTGATACAATTGTCATTTAAGTTAAAAATTGCAAATTCTCTTATGTGGAAATATTTAAATTGTCTGGGAGAACAAATGCCAGACTTATCTCTTCAAATTGAAATGGCATTTTAAAATAATCAGATGGAAAATTTAAACTACTACCAAAAGAGCTGGGCACTTAATCTATGTGGGTCAAGGTGCAAGTTGAGATGCCTCAATCCCATTGTGGAGTGCCTGGGTTTGATTCCCCACCTCCCTGCCAATTCAGACCACAAGAGATAGCAGTGACGGCTTAGGTTGTTGGGTTCACGTCACCTGTACATGGGAGACCTATACTGAATTCTCAATCCAGCCGAGTCTTGGCCACTGTGTACTCAACTAGTAGATGAGAGCTCTTTTCGATAAAAAAAAAAAATTACCCTATTTTATGATCATCAGGCATTAAAACTAAAGACTTGAAATCATACTATAACAACTTGTATTTCCAACTACCTGCTCCATTAAGTATAAATATTCCCAAAGATATGAAATAATAAAATGTGGAAATAAGCAAACTAAGACAATTAAAAATTCTGCCATTTTCCAAGGACATGTCTTAATCACCTATGCTAAGATAAAAGAAATTTGTAAATTGCAAAAGATATACAGAATATGTTCAGTAACAAGCCAATCAAAAGGAATACTTAATATCAAAGTAGAATAAATTTTTCTTCTGTTGGGTTAGAATTTTTCAAAATCTAACCATGTAGTAAAAGATATATATGAACAATAACACGCTTCAGGCAGTTACCAACTCTTCAAAACACTAATCACAAGAATAAAATTAATATACTTAAGATACTTAAAGAGAGCATTACTTATGAAAATGTTTGTATAAATTCCATGTATCAATAAGTAAGCCCAAGCAGAAAATTATAAATGGTGAATTTAGTTTCAGTATAATGAAGACAAAAACCAGCAAATAACTTCTCACCTTATATAGTACTTTTAATGTAAAAAGCTTAAGCCTTTATTCTGCCAACATATTTGTTTCATATATCCTTGAAAAAGAAAAAAAAACCAGAAGTACCTGGTATCTATTTTATAATCAAGAACATAAACCATGACATTTTTGATGGAGGATTTAGTTCCTTCATTAAAAAGGCTCAAACTAATGGCAACAAACACAAGTTTTACTTTGATAAAGAACAGAAAATTTTAGTGTATGGGAATGTACTAACAACGGTCTCATTTCTTCTCTTAGATATTGTGCAAGTGATATATTTAAATACTTACTAGAACCAAATATAACTTAAAAAATTAAGGGAACACTTTTCTCCCTTTTTATAACACTCAAATGAGAAATAAAATTTAGAATTAAGAATTTTCCATCAGGAAGAGACAGTAATATCCACCTGCAAAGGAAAAAAAAAAAAACCACAGTATCATTCAGACTGTCAATTAGTAATCATGGTTTATAAAACTCTAACTTTGTCAAATCCAAGTATTCTTAACCTGTGTATCTACCATTAAGGAAACATAGTGGTTATAACAAAAGGATAGATCATTTACTGAAGAAAATCTTTAATGTTAAATATGGAAGTTAGTCTTTGGCTAAGCTTTCTAATCTACTATCACATACATACCTATGCTTAAGAGATTTATATTTGAATTATAAAATCCAAAGTGAACTACTGAATGACTTAACCTGGTCTGTATTCTGCATGCTCACCTGATGTCTTCTCCATTCCAAACTCATCTCATACTTCAACTAACAGTTTGAAGATTCTCAATACCAGAATTTGGCATTAACTTAAAAGGAAAACTGAGTTTACATTCGTAAGATTACCATTAAAAGGATATAACTTATTTTACTGTTGTTTCCTTACAAGCTTCAAAATTACAAAGATGGATATATGCTACCCATACAATTAAACAGAGAAAATTACATTGTTTCTTAAATATTTCAATCTTTCTCTAATATAAGGATCACAAACAATTAAAGCTTTCATTTTGCTTTACAGATCAAATGGTCTTTCTTCACATCTAGATTTATCTTATATGAGGTCTTGCCTATTGAATCTAAGATAGGTTTCTTCCTTAACACTCAGAAGATAGGTTAAATATGATTTTCTAAACTCCAGATTCAGATATATTTAAGAACATAAATATGAAAAAAAAAAAACAGAAAACAGCTCCTGGGTTGTAGTAGAAAACATGAAACTACTTGATAAACATTTTTAACTCATTCAATAAATATTTCTAGGCAGCAGGGGATCAGAAATCATTGTTACCTTTCATTTAATGGTTAAAAGAAATAAAACAGGTTAAGAGCTTGATGAGTGATTTTCAAGAGTATCAAGGCACTATTATTTATATGTAAGAACTGTCATGTAATTCTAGACACAATGTATATTATGAATTTCAAAAAGTTTGTGGAAAATGGAATTTGAAAAAATTTTGAGGCCAAAAATTTTAAAGCCACACAGCTTTTGCACTACATGCAATTTTCATACATTTTTTTTAAAAAAACTGTGTATTGCTTCTTTGGGCAAAAAATTTGATGATAAAAAATGTAAAATTGTTTTCAAGAGCTTGTCTTACAGTTTCTTACTTTCAAATCAGAATTTTTTTTTTTAGAATTATACCAACTATTTTATTTTTTTAAATTTATTGTTAATAACATTGTATTATGTGATACAGTTTTATAGGTACTGGGATTCCTCACACCCCTCCCACAACCCTCCCTCCATGGTGGATTCCTCCACCTTGCTGTCAAATCAGAATTAAACAGAAGATCCCTTACCCCTTGAGTATAACCTTTAGGTTAGAGTTGAAACACTATTAAATTTTCTGAAATAAAAATTATGACTGTAAGAATACATTAAGAACTGATTTTATATTGTAGATCTTCTGTTTGTAACCAAAAGGTAAATATTCACTGTAAGAAATATCAGTTACGGTACACTGTGCAAACATACTCATCCTGAAGTCACTGTTATATTTAATGACTATAAACACTACATGCAAGCAACAGAAGGTAAAGAAATTATTTTCTTCCAATTATACCTAAAATATTTTACCGTATTTACAGCTATAAAGTTAATAGCTACCATCAGTTTGTCCAATGAGGAAGTTAAGTAATAGATGTAAAAAAAGTAAACAAGACCTTCAAATTTTCAACTTGCCAAAAATAAATAAATAAAATAAATAACAAAAACATGATTATATTATTATAAAGTCTGAAGGTATGGAACTCCAATCCTAATCATCCATCTGTAGCAATTTATTTAATTTTAGTTTTTCTCTTAGCCAGCTACTGAATACACTCTTCATCTTCATGGTAGTTTCTATTATAGAAGTTGTGATTAAACAGATCATAAAAACCCTTTTAAATATGAGAGGTAAAAAGCAGATGAGCAACCTCTTATCCACTGGTGTTGGTCCATTTCCCAACACCAGCAATGGCAATGATCTAGAGCCATCGCTGCTGCCTCCCAGAGAATGTGTTACTATGAAGCTGGAGCTGGAGCTCCCCATCATGGACACAGACATCTGCATAGTGTGCCATTTACATGACCCTTATATGCATTTTCAGACTCAGAATTTATTTCACATTTTGATGCATTATAAGAACTTATTTAGAAACATATGAATCAGCATTTCCTGAATTCTGCTCAAACAAAATACGTATTTATGAGATGGATAAACATACTTAATTTTAAAACAAAGGGAAAAGCAACACATGTTCTGCCTTAGGTAAAAATCAGAATCATTTACACAGAATGTTAATTAGAGTAAATTCATCTGAAGTGGTGCAAGTTCTTTCAAGTTCTTGCTGACAATAAAATAATTATTAAATTATAATTACAGGGCCTGGCATGATAGCATAATGGTTAGGGTCCTTGCCTTGCACGCCCAGGATCCAATATGGGTGCCAGCTCTAATCCCGGCAGCTCCACTTCCCATCCAGCTCCCTGCTTATGGCCTGGGAAATCAGTTGAGGATGGCCCAAGGCTCTGGGATCCTGCACCCATGTCGGAAACCTGGAAGAAGCTCCTGGCTCCTGGCTTTGGAATGGTTCAGCTCTGGCCGTTGAGGCCGCTTGCGGAGTGAATCATCAGTTAGAAGATCTTCCTCTCTGTCTTTCCTCCTCTCTGTATATCTGACTTTGCAATAAAAATAATTAAATCTTAAAAAGAATTATAATTACAGGTGATCCTCTGTATCTGTGGGTTCCTCATACAGAGATTCAACTAATTACAGACTAAAAGAATTGTCAAAAAAACTCCATTTGTACAATGCATGTAAAAAATTTTCCCCCTTATCACTTTCTAAACAACAGTTTAGCAACTATTTGCTTAGCATTCTCATTGTATTAGATACCGTAAGTAACCTATACATGATTTAAAATATATGAGAATGTATGTAGGCTGTATGCAAGCAATACACTATTTTATGTTAGAACATCACAGATAATGGCATGTGTGAGTATCCTACCAACCCCTCCAAGAGATAACAGTATTTTAGCAGACATTACATATCTGAAAAGATGGACTACCATATCTCAAATCATAGCAAAACATATAATCATCAGGAATACAGAAAAATATCACTAAAACTAAGAAAAAACCAAATAACATATATTTTAACATACAACAGTAGAGTATGGCCAACCTTACTTCAGCAGCACAGTTAATACTGGAGATAATTTTAGAACTTTAACGCCAGTATTTACGTGCTGCTAAGGCACTGCTGACAATGCTATGTATCATAAGAGCTACAAAAAAAAAAAAAAAGTTTTTTTCAGAAGATCAGATCCTTGTATTTTTGAGGCAGCACAATATGGCCTGCACCTTTTCAAAATCCACAAACCATTATGTGCTGCTACTTTACTCCAAGGTATTTTAATATTCATTAACACCTAAAGAATACAAAACATTCTTATATATTCTAATGCTGATTTAAGTTTTTAGAAGCTTCCAAGTAGAGTTAAACATCTAGAAAATCTTACATGAAAAGTTTACTATACGACCAGCACAGTGCACAGGTTACAAAAACAATGTATTTTTTTCCTGGTCCAACTTAAGGTAATACAATTACTTAACCAAACTTTTGAATGCATTCAACATATGGTGATATTTTTGCCTTCTATAAGCAAAACAAGCAAAAAAGCCAGTAAGATTTATTTACCTTGGTAAAAGCAGAATTTACATCTGTAAGTGTACTCTTTAAAAGACATCTTCATCAAATAATATGTCAAGGGAGAAACATTAAATGACAATAATTGTAAGCTGACAAAAATACAAACATACTTTTAACAACATTACTACAAATCGGGCCCGGCACGGTGGCGCAAGTGGTTAAGTCCTCGCCTTGCACGCCCGGGATCCCATATGGGCACTGGTTCTAATCCCGGCAGCCCTGCTTCCCTTCCAGCTCCCTGCCTGTGGCCTGGGAAAGCAGTCGAGGACGGCCCAGGGCTTTGGGACCCTGCACCCGCGTGGGAGACCCGGAAGAGGCTCCTGGCTTCGGACCGGCATAGTATCGGCCCGTTGCACTCACTTGGGGAGTGAATCATCGGACGGAAGATCTTCCTCTCTGTCTTTCCTCTCTGTATATCCGCCTTTCCAATGAAAAAATAATAAAAATAAATCTTTAAAAAAAAAAAAAACAACATTACTACAAATCATACAAAATAATTTAACAAATTGATTTTTTGGGTAAAAATAACTCCAAATATTGGTTCTCAATACTTACTATAATTCTTAGGGTTAGATTCTAGAATATGAAGTCTTAGGAATGAGTCAGATGATATGTAAAACAGAAAGCCTGTTGCTCTTTATCTTCTTCTGCCCTACTGGCTTGCACTCCACTCAAGTGTGTAAAGATTCCTGGGCCCTGCACAGCAGCCTAGAGGCTGGGGGTCTAGCCTTACATGCCTAGGGATCCCATATTGACTCCAGTTCTAATCTGGGCGGCCCAGCTTCCCATTCAGACAGTTGCCTGGGAAAGAAGTTGAGGATGCCCCAAAGTCTTGAGACCCTGCACCCATGACAGAGACCCGGAAGAGGAACCTGGCTCCTGATTGGCCATTGTGGCCATTTGGGGAGTGAATGAATGGACAGAAGATTATCCTCCCTGTCTCTCCTCCTTTCTGTATATCTGACTTTCCAATTAGAAAAAAAAAAAAAAAACATTTCTCAAGTTTATTCAGATACAGGAATCACTTCAAGATTGTCAGAAAATGACACTACTTTTTTTTCCAACAAGATTAATTTTTATTATTTCGAAAGGCAGAGTTACAGAGAAAAGGAAAGAGGGATGGGACACGGAGAGAGGGAAAAAGGTAGAGTGAAGAAGGAGGTCTTTTACCTTTTCAGGTACATCTGCAGTGAGTTGCCATTCAAAATGAAGCACATATAGGACCCAAACCAGAGTTCACATGAGAAGCCAGAATGGTAGGTAGGAGTTAAATCACTAAGCCTCAACCATCTTTTCTTACCCATTTTCCCATCACTAAGAGTACACTAAGAAACGACACTTCTATTCAAATAGAACAATAACAGAAGCACTGACTGAAACTGGTCCCTTCATTCTAACAAACAACTGTTTATACAAACCACAATGCCATAGAGGCATGCATGGTAAATTGTTCATTTTCTCCAATGTTAAATGTATGTCCTCCAGGAAATCTATGGATTCACCCATTACCGGCCCCAATTTCTGCACAGTTTCGACAGGTAACCCAAATTGTTGGCTAAGATTTCAGAAATAGCTACAAACTTCTCAGTTTCATTAAGGAACTGTCATATTGTTAGGCTCCCCACCATGCCAGCCTCTCACAAAGAGTTTCATTGGGGTCTCTCACATGAGTAGCAGGAGCCTGACACTTGGGTCAAACTCTGCTGCTTCCCTAGGCCATAAGCCGAGTCCTAAACTGGCACCCTATTGCATGCTGGTGATGTAGACAGCAGTTTCAACTGCTATACCACAATGCCCGCCCCATGCAGTGTTTCATTTATAGACCTTTGCATCATGTTTGTCATTATGACTCTACCATAGTTTAAATTAGCATGGATTTATCAGTTGAAATTTGGTACTGTGAGATCTTCCATTTTGTTGCTCATCAAAATTAGGAATCCATTAAGATTCGATAACAATGTTGGGACAATTTTTTCCTATTTCTGTAAGAAAAAAAAAAAGGGAGAAAGATTTAACAACAGCTGTTGTTTAAAGTCTTCCAGAAAAGGCCCTAGCTTTGGGAGTATAACTAAACCTTGCTATTTTTGTTAAACATGATAATCTTCTCACTCCCCAAAACAACATTTTCTAAAATGTATAAGTATATGAAATGTAAAGGAAACAGATTAAAAGTTGACCTTATTCTATTTCTTGGACATAAATGTTTAAAAACAAAAAGGATGCTAACTAGAGAAGATATTATTAAACATTAGTGTTGAGCATGTGCTTGCAATGAAGTTCAATTCAGATGAGAACAATGATTGCTTTATAGTAAAAAAACAAAACAAAACAAAACAAAAAAACCACCAACGTCTAGTTTCGAAGTTAAATTGAACATAATTTTATCATTTCTATACTCCCTTGGTGCTTTCTAAGAAGAAATGAACGTAGAAGTGATTTCTTAAAAACTATGTATAAAGTAGATTTCAATCTAAACAAGTTATTCAAGAATGTTCCAACACACAAACCTCAAATGTCAACATTATAATGCTAGATTCCATAACAAGTTTTCCTATAGATAAAGCACTCAGAAACTATTCAATACAGTTTTTAAGTTTTTGGTGACTCTATTTCTATTCTCCAGATATAACCAATTACAAATATATCTTGACAATGAAGAAATGTAACATAAAAGGTATGAGAACATAAATATATTACCTGTAACATGTATTCTTTCTTACTATTTCTGGCTCCCTTTTGTGTCCTATAGTTATTTTTAGAACATTTTCTTTTCAGCTTTCATCCTATGTCAATCATCCTTTATATCTGAGTTAAAATCATTGATTCAGATTTCAACTTACTAATTCCTTTGCCATTAATTTCATGTCTTAAAATTTAAAAATGCCTAAATACTAGAAATACAAATGCATTTCAGATGAACTTCCTATTAAGAAAATTTCTTAACATTTATGCATAATATCTGCTACTTTCCCTAAGTACCTAGGGCTCTAAAATGAAGAAGTACCCAATATTTCCTTCTAACAGGAACACTGTGCTATTCTCATCGAAGTTCTCTTTTAATGACACATGACAGTCAAATGTAACATGTGGACATTTCTGAAATAATTAGGAATTTCATCAGGAACAGATGGCAGCAGAAATTACAAATTTTATTAGCATATTATAAACATTGTAGTTAGGTATTCAGAAAGAAAAAATTCTAAATACTATAGAATCATAATGAAGCAGTTATGAGCAAAGAAAAGATTGGTCAAGTATGATGCCACAGGGATCACAATTAGAGTAGCAAGGGGCATTTGAGTGTAATAATTATCCTCTCCCACTGAGTAATTCTTCCTTTTTTTTTTTTAACATTTATTTTATTGGAAAGGCAGATGTAGAGAGAGGACAGATAGAGAAGAAGAACTTCTGTCCGATGATTCACTCCCCAAGTGGCTGCAACGGCCAGTGTTGTGCCGATCCGAAGGCAGGAGCCAGGAACTTCTTTCCAGGTCTGCCACGTGGGTGCAGGGTCCCAAGGAAGGCTTTAGTCCATCCTCGACTGCTTTCCCAGGCCACAAGCAAGGAGCTGGATGGGAAGTGGAACTCTCAGGATTAGAACCGGCACCCATATGGGATCCTGGGTGCATTCAAGGCAAGGACCTTAACCATTATGTTATCACGCTGGGCCCCCACTGAGTAATTCTTAAAACTTCCTGAACATCCTATATGCTTGTAACTAATTTTCCAAATTTGCATCCTTCCCTCAGAAATATGTGCCTATCTCATCTTTGACTAAAGCTAGTACTGGAAGCTTAAAATATTAATCCCCCGAACCCAGCAAGGTGGCTCAATGGCTAAACCCTTACATTGCAAGTGCCAGGATCCCTTTGGGGCATTGTTCATGTACTGGCTGCTCCACTTCCTATCCAGCTCCCTGTTTGTGGCCTGGCAGAGCAGTAGAGGACAGCTCAAAGCCTTGGGACCCTGCACCTGTATGGGAGAACCACAGAAGGCTCCTGGCATCTAGCTTTCATCAGCTCAATTCTGGCTGTTGTGTCCATTTAGGGGATGGAAGACTTGTCTGTCTCTCCTTCTCTGTAAACCTGCCTTTCCAGTAAAAATAAACAAATCTTAACAACTGCAACAACAGTAATCCTCTTTCCATGACCAGTACATTGAAGAATAACTGAAATCATTCTGTCTCCAGTGAATTCTTATTTCAATCATTCTAGCTGACACTAAAACCACCAATTCACTAAGAACTTTTGAAGTTACACAATTATTCTCAGGATTTGTATGCTGTTGAACAGATAACTGGTTTCACTATTTCAGGTCAATTTCTTTATTCAACTGAGCCTAGCTTTGTGACAATCTTTCCAAGGATGGCCTATGCTATTTTTCATTCTTGTATATCGATCTACTGGAAATATCACAGTGTATCAACCCTTTAAATCCCTTTTTAAAGTTGTTGGCTAAAAGCAAACATACAGAAAATTCCCCAAAGGCTAGCCACAACAGAAATAAAGAACTATTTAAAAAAAGAAGTGGGGTGGAGGTACCTTGCACAGTAGCGTAGTGACTAAAGTCCTCACTTGCATGCACCAGGATCCCATATGGACACTGGTTTGTATCCTGGGTATTCCACTTCCCTTCCAGCTCCCTGCTGTGGCCTAGGAAAGCAATCAAGGATGGCCTAAAGCCTTGGGACCCTGTACCCACAAGGGAGACCTGGGAGAAGCTCCTGGTTTTGGATCGGCTCAGTTCCGGCCGTTGTGGATGCTTGGGGAATGAACCAGCAGATGGAAGATCTTTCTCTCAGTATTTCCTTCGCTTTGTAAATCTGACTTTTCAATAAAAATGAATAAATCTTTTAAAAAATTAGTAACAACAATAAAATAAAACCTTTCAGTTCTTTTTGTCCTTTATGCAAGGCCCAGTTGAAATCTGGTAGTTTATTTTTTGAGCTACGAGACTTTAATTACCTCAACTATCTTCAAACACATTTCAGTTTTCCAATCTTATGATCTCCCAAGGGAAAAAAATAGCCATTTTGAAAGGCAGGACCAAGATAAGTAAATCAAATGTTATACTGAAGGAGTCAACTTGAATACAAACCTGAGAACCTTTATGTTTTACTTAAAATACAATAAAATGGCAGAGTATATAAAATGACTTTTCCCTAATAAATTATTTACAATAATTTTGTTTTTAATTAACATTTTGATTGTTATGTTTACTTTGTATCTTATAAACATGGTCATATTTGTGCATCTAATTCACACAGAACATTACTGCATTTAAAGAAAACATTGAAAAATTCTAGGCATATTGTCCTAAACTATAGAATCAATCTGAATGCAACAGGTCACTGATCAGTTTTTGGATTTTTTAATTTACTAGTAATAGCAGAAAGTTTATTGAGGCAGCAACGACAAAACTGCCAATATGAATTTGGAAGACTTAAGATGGAGTCCTTATTTTGAATGTCATTTAATTATTACACAGATCTTCTTTATTCTTCCTCTTCAAAACGAGGTCATGAATACCTATTTTATAGCCCCAATTAGGCTGATCAGTCCTAAATGCCTATGAGCATATCTAGTGGTGAATAGGTATTCATTGAATGTCCATTGAGTTTTTCAATGTACTACAGTTCAACATGAACCAACAGTGCTGGTAACACAGAGAAGTGTAGACAGGCTGAATCCTAGAATTTTCTCATTCTTCAGAGATGCACTGTGGTTTGTACTTTCTATGATGGGTTTAATTTTATATAAAATATTTTAAATGCTAAAAAATGCAATGGACCCAGAGTGGAATATCCAGGATACAGCTCTAGGATTCATGCTGGAAGAACCAGTGGGAGGACTTTGTTACATTAAGTCTAGCAAGAAAAAACTATTTTTGCAAGATAGTTTCATACATGCTAAGCTCAAACCAGCCCTCTATTGAGAATTTGTTTTCCATGAATTATTACTGACAGAACTGCAACTTAGATTATCAAGGAAGAAGTGTATTTTGTATGGTTCTAACTAATATAAGGCCAAAAATAAAATGAATAAACTTTAAATAAATTTGACTTCAGTGTACTTTACAAAGTTGTTTTGTCTAAAGCTGGAGAGCCAACTGCCAATTTTAAATTCTGACTACATGACATCAAATATTAAGGTCTTAAAACACCCTATATAATCCAATTAAGGACATTAAAACTGAATAACCTTTTAAAATGAAAATTCAGATATATTTGGTATTATTTCATTATAAACATTTTACACTGAAGGTCTGAAATCTGACCAGAATACTTGAAAGAAATAGCATTCTTGGCAAGCACACACTACTAAATGCATCAAAACTTCATTTTAATGAGCTAGAAATAAGCTTACTATAAGAAAATGAGATTTAAAAAATTAATATAAAAATAAGCATAAATGTACTTACTGGATATAACAGGAACTGTGAAACTGACCAGTAAAGACACAGACTGGTGTAATCACCGGCAACTGAAAATATATTTCATTTTTAGGTTCAACATACCTCTCTTTTTACCTGGAGTTAAGTTTCTGACTAATAGACAATAGTTGAGACCAGGATTAAACAGAAAACTCTTGAGATATTTTCTGCTTATTCTTACACCTTAAAATCCCCATCATGCCAGTTGTTTGCACTTATTCGAATTCACTATATTCGAATATTTATTTTCCAGTTAAAGTTTTACTTTATTATGCACAGTGCTATGGCACTTTTAAATCAGCACCTGTCTGACATGAACACAGGTTTGAGTTGTGGGTGCTTCACTTCTGATTAAGCTCCCTGCAGATGTTTTTCAAAAGGTGGGAAATGTCCAAATATGTGGGTTCCTGCCACCTACAAGGGAGACCTAAAAGGAGTTCAAGGTCCCTGGCTTCAGTCATTGCAAACATCTGGGGAATGAACCAGTGAATGGAAGAAAATCCCTGTCTCTTCTGGTTTTCATATAACACTAGGAATATATTTTTTGCTCATACTCTGATTTTGAACCCATTATCGAAACCCCAGCTATTCCTTCCTATCCTTCTCAGCCTTTAGTCCACACCACTTTGCCGAAACTGATTTTTTTTAATCTTCCACATATTTCCTTCTAAAATCAAGATCTGTGCTTTCATTTTTCTAAGTAAGCATCCAAAGCAACGTCACAACTAAATTCTCTATCTTTTGAATCTATGCAGGGATAAGGAATTGTTCAGGATGCCAAAGAATAAACCCAACTCCTTTCTATACTTCTGGCGTAACAACTCAAAGAAATATTTAACAACTCAAATTTTATGGTTACAATTTTGTTGAAAGCAGAAGCAGCCATGGCTTAAAACATAAAACCCGAGATTTAACTCAATCATTCTGTTGAACATATATATGTCAAATACGTAAGACTTTGGGGACTAGAAACACCTGGCACTTGATTATACATTGTCTGATTCTCAACAACACAGTCTTTTGAACAATGACTAAGAAACAGCTGCAGCACATTTTGAACTTTTCCTATGCTCATAAATTATAGAATAATGTATAACTTTAAGAGCCTAGATGTGATCTATTTAACAAATAGCAAGTTCATCCTATCAGTAGGCTAATAATCCTTTTCCTCCTCTACGAAACACTAATGGTAGCTGATACCCTTATGTAATTTTTTCTCTTTGTATTGTAAATACAATACCCTTCATTAATAACTCAACTGCCAAATAAGCAATTTATTTATTTTTAGCATGTACGTTTCTCACAAAAACATCCCGTTTAAAAAAAAAATCATTCAGTTATATTTCTCAAGAATGGCAAAGGTATGGTGCAACAATTTACACCAAACTAAAAGCTCTATTATAAATATATTAAAAACAGAATTTTTACCTATGTTTTGCACATGACATATTTAATGAAAGCAAAGCAGATTTTACGTAACTTCATATCATTGATTACTTACTGCCCCATTGATTAAAACACACCAATTTCTTTGGCAATTCTTATTCAGGCAATCCTTTGATTGTACTATTTATAATTCAACAACTGATAATACTTTCTAGACTAGTAGCATTACATGCCATAGCTATTTTACTAATTTGAAAACATCTCTAAAGATATATTTTGAAAACTAATCCTATGCCACAAAAACTTTCTTTCTTAATCCAGAAGCTCTTTTTAAAGAAGGTAAATTTTATAAGTCTCCTGAATCAGGAAATAATTCATCTCACTGGTAGTTGAAAAGAATACTAATACCAGCACAAGATGGTGAAGTTCTGCATATCTCCCATTTGGCTATTTATAAGATCAATGTCTTGAGTCCCTTTTGTAGATTATGAAAGATTCTATACTCTAAATAGCTAACAGTGTACCTAAAGATGTTTTCTAAACAGCAAACAATACATTCAAATACCTTAAGTTCACAAGACTTTAATATATGATTAAGTGTATGTATCCAAAACTGCAACATGAAAAATGAAAATATTTCACAAAGGAAGAAGTTGGGAAACACAACTCATACATGATATATATAATTAAAGATCTTCTTTTAAGCAGAGAAGCAAAACATATTTCAGATCTTTACAAAGTTTTAAAATACAACCCAAAATAATGTCATTTGATTTTCACAGCACATAATTTATAAACACACCTTCCACAGTTCTGAAACATTCACATTCCATAAATGAATAGTGCTTAATAAAACAAACAAAAACAGCAAAAAAAAATTCATATCAAAGAAATAATGGCATTAAATAAACAAGAAAGAAGCAACTGGGAAACATAACTGCACAGGATCTTCTCACTACTGTCACTGTGTATCCATTTTTCTGGGCACTGCTTAACCTGAAACATTTTCATATTAATATCTAAGTTAAAAGTAAACCCAGACATCCTACCTACAACAGACAACTACCTACAACTACAAAATATGGCCAACAGTCTATATTTAAAGACGCTAGAGTATAGCCAAGAAAGACTATTTACAAAGGAATAAAGAAGCTGAAGCGAAGCTGAGAATCTGACATTATATGTGCTTATAAATCTGTTAGAATTTAAAGCACATTCTTTTTGAAAATTGAACTGCTCTCCAGTCTTCAGAGGAATACAACACCAACAGAAAAGATTTTTTTTCTAAGAGTCAAGTTGAAGAAAGGCTGAGTTGGCTTCCAAGGGACCAATTAAGGAACCAAAGCCTGGATTATATAGGATTCTTTAGGGATTTGTAAATGTTTCCATTTTAATTTTTCAGAAACAAAAATATAAAGGGAAAAAACTGGAAAAAAAAATCTGTGGCTCCTGTGGCATTTGGCTATTACTTTACAGAGTGGCTCATTACTAACAATTTTCCTTATTTAATTGACTCCTACCTCAAACTCACTGCTCAGTGTAAGGGGTGATTTTCCATGATGGTAAGATTACCTTCCAATTAATATACATTCTCTAATTTACTAATGCAGCATTAAGGGATAATGTAAGGAAAGTACACGAAGCATTGATGTGCATTTAAACAAGACCAGGCCTCAATGTCATTAGGAACAGCAGCACCTGAGTTTCTCTTCTTCAGAGATGTAGAATTAGCTCAAGCCTTTGGAAGTGATTTTAGGTTCTCATATATTTTCTGAGAAATACCTATCTTGTGCATTTAACATGGTCTTGACTTGTGAGTCTTTCTAGCAGTTTAATACCAATTCCTGCTAGCCTGTTAGAATTATTCTATGTCTTACACATTTCTTAAATGAACTAGAGGAAAAATGTTTTTAGAAAAAGAAGTGCATGTGTACTGATAAAAGGAAAAGAGATTGTCTTCCTGTTTGAACTGCTAACTGTAAAGCTCTTCACCAAAGAAGTATCAAGTGTTAATTTAAAGAAACAAAAACTAATCAAAAAGATTTCTCAAATGAAGATGTTCGATTTATAAAGCCACAAGGGTCAATAAGGCTAAATAGAGCTTAATGTGTAGGGGGTTAGAGAACTATTCTAGCATGGGTAGAAACAAAATAAAAAATAAATAAATAAAATGTTAACAACAAACAGTAACTTTGGATTGCAAGAATAGTGAGGCAAAGAATTTAATACTTACAAGGTAGGAATTTCTCAGTTAAGTAGAGACTTGTTTTATTATTCTCTTCATTTTAACCATTATTAAGCCTAGGAAAAAGATAAAAGTGAAGATTTAACATTTTTGACCACATTGTATAAATCGAAAGTTTCAACTGAGGCTGACATCAATGCTTTTTGATCCTTACACAGCACAGAACCACTGCAGATTACCAACACCAAGCAGCATTTATATAGTTCAATGTGGTTCATTATTGAAAAGCAGAGAAACAGGGAGACAAAAAGGCATGGAATGCAATCTGGGTCTCTTACCCGGGTGGCTGGGACCCAAGAACCTGGACCACCACTTGGTGCCTCCTTGGATGTATATTAGCAGGACGCTGGAATTGGAAGCAAAGCCAGCTTGAACCCTGGCTTATTGGAAAGTGAGTGTCCCAAGTCAAACACTTGTCCCTGTGATTCTTTTTTTTTTTTTTAAATAAATGTACTTAAAAAAAAAAAGATTATTTATTTTTATTGCAAAGTCAGATATACAGAGAGGAGGCGAGACAGAGAGGAAGATCTTCCGTCCGATTCAATCCCCAAGTGAGTGCAACGGCCGGTGCTGTGCTGATCTAGAGCCAGAAGCCAGGAACTTCTTCCAGGTCTCCCACACGGGTGCAGGATCCCAAAGCATTGGGCCATACTCAACTACTTTCCCAGGCCACAAGCAGGGAGCTGGATGGGAAGTGGAGCTGCAGGGATTAGAACCAGCACCCATATGGGATCCCGGCGCGTTCAAGATGAGGACTTCAGCCATCAAGATGAGGACTTTAGCCACTAGGCCATCGTGTCAGGCCCAAGATAAATGTACTCTTATTGGAAAGGCAGATCTGTCACAGAGAAGAAAGGCAAAGAGAAATAATCTCTATCTGCTGGTTCACTTCCCTTAGGCACAATGGCTTTCCCAGGCCTTACGCAGAAATCTGGACTGGAAACAGCAGCTGGGACACAAACTAGTGCCCATGTAGGATGCCAGTGCTTGCTGGATGGAGAATCAGCCTGTTGAGCCACTGCACTAGCCCGTATGATACACTTTTTTTAAAAACTGTGCTTTTCCGATACTATTGCTTTCTTGAACTTTAAAAGTGAAACATGTAAGTTTAAAAACCTCCTATGTTTAATTTGAAGCACATGGAAAATTTGGTTTTACTCCAAGCTATCAGATATTTTTATTTTCAAGATTATACCCTGAGATTGATACCCCTTCTCATGCACACATAAAACTGTAAAATATAAAGCCATATAATGCCTAAATCAAAGAATTCTATTGTAATAAAAACGTACAAATATATATTCACATAAAATTTTAAGTTGGAGCCTAAAATGCATAAAGGAATCTCTGAAAATAATATACTATGCTGTTATGGCCAAAACAAACAGAAAATATAGTTGTCAAGTTGCCTGAATCAAACAGTAAATGAAAGAGTAATGATAAGGACAGAGAAATTGTTTTCATTCTCACTCATTACCTACAGGAGTAGGAAGGATTAAAAACCAGTACACAAACGCAGTATATATATTACATCTTCAAAAATAACGAAAACTAAATGATGTTTTGAACTTGAGTTGACACAAAATTGAAAGAATGTAGCAAAACTATCCAGATTCACAATGGGGCACTCACAATGTAAAGTTTATTAAAAATATTTTCATCACAAAAAAGGACAGCACATTTAAAAAATTTCAAAGTCCACCAGAAAATCAAGACAATACCAAACAAAATGAAACTCCACATCCCACTCCTAACTCTTCAATCCAAACCTATTAAAATTCGAATATTCTACCATGCTTGCTTTACCTTTTTAAGCAAAACAATTCCATGTGCAGTTGAAATCTCCTGTGTATTGTATCTTGATAACATTCCATTCTCTAAAATACAATCTTCAATGTTTTACTTACACCCTATACATGTTTCACATTATTGCATCATAAATACATCTTTTATATAGTTATGTTGTATCTAAACCTTCTACAACCTGTTTTGTTTGAAGTAGATCACATGACATACTCATTTTTAATAGCTATATAATTCATCATATGACTGTCACAATATGCCATTCTCCTGTTGCTTAACCTCATATTGTTCTCACCTTTAGTAGAAGAAACAAGACTTTAAAATAAAAATAGATATCTGAGTTTATCCAGATCATCTAGGAATGAAATTGTTGGGTGTGAGCCTAATATATCTGCAACTGTATTAGGATACTGCAAAGCCTGCACAAGCAGCAAAAGAATTCCAAATTTTTATATTTTACGCAAAATATGAAAGTATATTGAAGAAAAAAGTTATTTCCGAAAGTTTTAAAATTCCTAATTGATAAATTCCTTGTTTTCATCAAACATAGGTATACCAAATGTTGCAAATGAATTAAACTAAAATTTGACCCAGGATACTTGCACAAAAATAAATCTCTGATAACAAATTTTCCTCATATGGTTAAGGAACTACTATCACTGATTTAGAAGAGCTTAGATACACACAGCAGCTTAGATCCAAGACAGCCAAGGAAAAGTAAAAGTAAAAGATAACTGCTGGTGCAAACATCCCTCTTATTCACAAGTGGTGTTCTTTTAGCAACAACAAAGGGTCCATAAGAACTCATGGAAAAGGTAAATCCCCAGTGCTAGCTCCAGACAGCCTTACTGGCAGCCTGGCAAACTGCTTCACTCGAGGTTAATCTTGTATAGGTCATCTAGAAACTCAGCACTAATTAATTCAAAAATAATTAGATAAAAGAAATTAATGTTATTTTTAAACACTACCAGCTGATTTTCAAAAACACCCTAGTATTAGGACAAGAAACAAGCAACTTTCATTTATGCTCGAATTGCTAGAACAAGGTGTAGGCTCAATGTATTTCAAATCACTAAGCACATACTATGGCAAAGCTTTTCCTGTAACATTAGTGGAGAACTAATTTTATGAGTTTACTTAAGATTGCTAAAGGAGAACATTGTGAGACAATTAACAAAAACAATGGTTACCTTTTAAAAATATTTTTGCAGATGTCTTATTTTGAATTAGGACAACAGGCTTATATATTAAAAAGTCATTTTCAGTTTCCACAAATAAAATCATAACCTTAATAAAAATCTGATAGTCACTTTGTAATTATTAACTTACTGAAATTACTTAGACATGAGAGAAATATGATTGTATCAATTATGTAAATTCATACTGCAAAAGTCTTCAGTATTACTTGACATTACAGGATCTATTTTCAAAAGTGAAAGAAACACTCCTATGTAGACAGTCATCTTTTGTTTCCTCAATGTTTACCCTAACTTGTGGTATTATCAACTAATTATTTTTCAGTCTACCAGCTTGGAAGAGAAAAGTAAGAAATCCACCATATATGTTTCAGAAGATAGTTTTCCATTCTAACAGATGGAATTAACTTAATAAAAACATAATGGCCTAAGCACTACAAGCATCCAAAGTTCTGTTTGTCCTGCATTAGAAAAAACGCTTTCTGTTAAAGAATGTATTCTTTATACTGTGTATGGATACACTGAGTGAAGGCCTTTCTACCTGTTCTGTAAAAACTGCTGGGTACAGGCTCCTGTGAGCACCATTACTGCATACTAATGGTATTCTGTGTAACAGCTGACAAGTAGCAGCAATCTCCCAGCCCCTTATCCCAGCTGTAAAGCAAGGACAGGAGATGTGGTGGTAATACTTGTTTACTCATTGCTGCTGCTGAAGCAGCAAGCTGAGAAAAGCATACATCTAACAGAGGAGAAAAATAGGGTTCAACACACCCACCGTAGTCCATTTCTATTACTGCATGACAGAATAATTTAAGAAGGAATTTTCTGTTATTTTAAAAAGTTAATGACACATGTAATTATCTTCAGCTCCTTAAGTTTGGAGTTAACTGCTCAGTTATCCAAATTCTCCAAGAATTTTAACCATTGTCAGAGTGAATCAACACAGTATCCACTCTAATTATTCGCCTGAAAAATAAGTGTTCAAATTCAAATCAAGAAATGAAATTATATCTTGCTTACAAAATGCCTGGTTCCCTCCCAGGTACCACGCATCTAATCACCACCATATGTCTGGCTTCAGACACTATTAGCAAAAAATAAGTAAATATTTTATCCCATAAAATTTTAACAAAGCTTTCAACTATTAAAAAAAAGGCACATGCAATTTATCTAGTTTAAATTGTGATGCAAAACTAAATTCAGAGCAGAATGATGGACTTATGATGCTTATGAAGGACTAGACTATTGTAACATTATGGGAAGGTGTACGGAAAATCCCAGAGCCAATGGAACTGTATCATAAAATTAAAAATAAAATAGAAAGGAAAAATAAACCCTAAATTTAGATATTATACAGTATGACTAAATGAGTTAACAGAAAGTTATCTTAAATATTTACTTTTATTTTACTGACTTACATTGAAATTCACCAAGTCTTTTATCTTTGATTCAGAAAAATACAGAAAGTCAGAAACCTAGACATCTATGAATTTTATATACATTAAGAAAAATGCATAGGCATTTGGCTGGAAAATTCAGTCAAGACTAGATTTGGGATTTTGAGAAACAGAAGTATGAAAAAAAATTCCAATTTTAAATCTTTATCACAATTGAAAAAATGATTTTTCTGCCTGGCAATTCAGAAAGGAAAATATAAATAATTTTGAAAATTATAATGAGATAACTTTGAATATATTACTATGAAAACTATATAAAGGTCTAACAATGAAAGAAAAAAATTTTGGTTAAAATATTTGGAAATAATACTGGATTAATAAACTATTAAACAACGAATTAATCAGTTCCAGAAGCTGCGCTTGAAACATGTTAACTAATTTTTCTGCAAGTGACTCTAATTAGGGAGATAGGAAGGAAAGTAAAACTAAAGCAAGTAATATATATTAATAAATTTATCAAAAGTTTGTGGTGCTGAGAACAGAATTCCAAGTAAAAATATTTAATACAAATGTAAAATCTTGACAATAAATACGGCCTCCTGAAGAATAAATGAATACTGTATCAGAAAATGTAATTGATATGTTAGATCTTATCTGAAAAAACATTTTATTTGAAAAGTTCATTTTATCTATTAATAAATCCTCAGTAACAGTATAAAGCACATATTAGAATGTCTTAGCTAACAAACTGCTTAAAATATAAGTTGTTTGAATAAAATAGCATTATACATCATTGTTAAAGAATAATTTTTAAAGTTTCTCCTTCTGTGGATAAGTCAGATTACATCCTTTTTATACAAAAGATTTTCTATCCTGAGGTAACAATTTTCAAACAATAGCAAGAATTACAGTATATATATATATATATGTTTTAGGGACAAATAATATTTTTTCTTGATAATTAGTATTCCTTAACCTTGGTAACAAATTTAACTGAAGTATATATATTATACAAATATGGTATGAATCATCCCTAAAAAAAAAAGATGAAAATTAACACAGTAAACCTCTTCTCTTAAATTCTGGCACAATGAACTATTATAAAAGTTTATGTTTAGAAAATCAGATGTGCTAATTTAAAATGGCCAAAATCATTATAAATTACTTTAAGGGGTACTTAAACAGAGATACACATCAGTGAAAGAATTCTTTAACATGTTTCCCAAATTAACACATATTATTAACTAAATTAAAGTTTCTCACCCTTTCTGAACTGACCAAATATAAAATCAATTTTAATATTTGAACTGAAGTTTTTTGATATTATTTCCTAAGACTTTGGAAGTCTGTAAGACAGCACATAACTACAGGAAGAACAGTGGTACAATGCTAAATATTTGTGTCCAAACAGTTATGTTTTGATACTTTCAAAGATCACAAATCACAACTTTCTAATTAGAAATCACTATGTGGAGTTTCATCTTTAACATAAAACTTACATGTTTTCTTTCATTTAATGCACCGAAGTGTATCTAAAGATATCTGGATTGAAAAGTGATAAACTGAACCCAGATTTTATTTTTCAGTTAGTCTTACCTTTCACTTCTCATCTTAATACTCTTTATCTTGGAAAACACTGGCTAAGCGAGAAGGATGCAATTGTATTTATTTTCATCCTATTGTCACATTCTGAAATTAAGCTGTGAAGATATTCTATACTTTTCGTTTATTTCAACCACCTTACAGAATGATGGCACCAAAATAAAAGTATCTCACTTTATTCTTATATTCAAATTTGATTTCTATTACATCTTAATATTTAACTTCCAATTATTTAGATCCACATTACTAGATTATCTAACTTCATATTACCTGAACAGCCAACTTCTTCAATGCTAGATATTAAGTTCTGTGACCATTTACTCTTAAGACAGGATCACACTTCCCTCATGAAATCTATGGGATTTCTGTTTTCTTACGTATGTAAAGTAATATTTTAAAATAAAAAATTAAAATCTTTCCATATTTGTCAAATTGATTTTTAAAAATTACGATTAATATTTTACCATGAGTGCTTGCTTCGGCAGCACATATACTAAAATATTTTACCATGAAAGAGTTAATTAACAAAACCTATGTCAAGTCTTCTTTAACATAGCAGATTACCATTTAGAAAACAAAAAATTTTAGCACATAGAATTTTAATTAAAGCTACTAAAAAAGAAAAAAGAAAAGAAAATACATATGCCAAGAAATTTTCTGTGATAATTTTGGTTGCTCAGACAATAAAAATCACTGGAAAAATAGATATTCTATAACTTGGTTTTAAAGAAGTTTGCAACTTTTGATATGAACAACTTAAATATTTTAATCAGAGTATGAGTAAGATTAGTTTCTGCTTAAGAAAGTGGGGTTTTCAGTTTCAACCAAGCTGCCACTTCTGGTTAGGACAGTATTGGAATACTTTAAATTCTTTGATAGTCTCATATTCTTGCTAATTTTGCAGGCTCTACCTACCTACCTCTTTCTCAAATTTGCTAAGTAGCAAATTCTGTTTGATTTAAAGTTTCCATTTAATAATATGAAGCATTAAATTACTTTAACAAATTGACAAGCTACACCATAACAGTCTTTAAGAAAGGAGAAGAAAATTCACTCTGCTTATTTTTAGAACCAATAAATTCATCTGGACAAGGCCCCAATCTAGATGATAACATTAGATATATTAAAAAAAATCCAGTTAAAATAAGCAAGTCAATTTAGCTTTGGCCACTTCACACAAAGATCTCCAGCAATAGTTAGTTTTTTGTTGTCTGATTTCAGTTCAGCTAAAAGTTTCAGCTTTACTGTCCGTCCACCCCAATTATATTGCTAAGACACGAAATTACATACCTTAAAAAATTCGTTACTCTCATATCATGTTCCAGTGATTTATGTGAGTATTCAATCAAAGAAGTTAGGTTGTTCTCCATAATTGGCTCTCTCCTAAAGGTCAAAACCTGCAATAAAAATGTCATGTATTATAGTATGAAGACATTCAACAGATTTCTGCCTCCTGGAGTTCCACAGTTGATCCTGGAACACAGAGGTAAGGTCTTCAAAACGACCCCAACCTTGCCAGTGTTCAAAGCAGCATTAACTAGAAAATACTGTTTCAAAACAGAAATAACTTGATTAGAAACACCTGTGATATGCTCTATCATCCGAAGCCTCTTCAGACAAATCAGATTAATATATTTCTGCTTTCATTTCTTGTCAGGGCACTCATTTACAAAGCGGTGTGGCTGAGTAGAATGAGTGTGTGTATGTAGCTGTTAGAGGACTAGTTGAAGATGTTTGCTGTGCTTGTGTAGGTAGGTAGCTATTAAAAGACTGGTATAGAGGAACTTCAAAAGAAAACATTCTGCCTATGTTTCTAAAACTCACAAAACCCCTAATTTTCAAAACTACTCACGGCAATAGGACAAAATTGATCAGCCCTGCTTCCCAAATTATCAAACGTTGTTAATGGCAGAAAGTACCATGATTTTCAACCTGAATGACTTGCTAAGCTGAAGTGACTTAAATCGACATTTCTAAAAGTTTTAATACATTACAGTTCTAACATATCAAAACTTAGACATTTTTTCTTAAACCAATTAAAATAATTGCAAGTAATAATAAATTGACTGCCCTTGGACAATTGTAAGTTTAAAAAAATGTTTCCCAAAACAGGTGAGACATAAGTGTAAGTGAATTTTTCGTTTGTTTCTCCTTTCTGAATCTTTACAAATGAGGGCATACAGCTACACAAAAATAAGAACTTATTTACGTTAGCAAAGTTGAACTGTACTACATATGAAGCATAATGTTGATGAGTTTTTCATTTTAAGAATTGCTCAGAAAACAAAAGAATGAAAATCAACAATGTGTCTGTCACTAAGTAAATGATTAGTAACGAAAACCATACAATCATGCAACACCACTCCAAACACAAGGTTTTTAAAAATCTTAATTTTTAAATAGTCTTCCCCAAAAGATAAAATTTTCTATCTCTGCACATTCTGAAAATTAAGGCATCTTGAATGTAAATATTATAGAAGTTAAACCACGGAAAACAAAATTATTTCATACCAAATATTAAAATTTTAATACAACATGTTTTTGAACCGTAGGGAAATGTCACATAATAAGAAATGAAAGATTTAAATAAGACATGATAAATCAAGTAGGTATGATAGAAAGACAAAAAAGACCCTTCAAAATAGTAAACTCTAATCTATTACAAAATAAGTCCGATATAGTGACTACAAGTTTTCCCATCGTAAACATTCTTTAAACTTACAAGATTAAACAAAAGTATACAAAACATTTTGATTAAAAAATACTAACACTTAAGAGTATATTTGTGCTTAATATCAATTCCAACTTAAACTTGCCTTTTTGTCCAAAACAACAAAAAATACATCATCCCTGACACGGAAAAAAAAAAAAATGCATCTATCAGAAAGAAATATTTATTTGAAGGATGTATACCAGCATTTGTAATGCAAATAATCAAATATATTCATAGACACATTAGTTACATGGGATTCTAAAACTGACATCGTGACTCTTAAGACAGTTACTGATTTTAAGGTTCTAATGCTGTCACTTCTGCATATTAAACTTACTTTCAACATACTTTTTTGAAATAAAGTGATACTTTACTGATTTCCTTTGGTCTTACAAGATTTTGAGCTATAACATTTCAGCAAGTAATACCTTGAGTTCTAATTATGTACACACAGTTCTAACTAGTTGCCTACCACAGTTTTTAAATTGCAGAATTTTATTGTGTTTTAGATATCATAACAGTAATCTTTTTCCTGAAAAGGGGTATAAAAAAAATCAATGCGGACATTAGTAAGCTTCATGAAGCAAAACAACAAAAGTCAATTTTAGGATATTAATATGTTAAAATAAGAGATAATTTTTATAAAATAATTTCCAAAACAGGGCATGTTTATAATCTAATTTGAGAAAGCTTATGTGTTATGTAGAAGAAATGGCTAAGTTTTTGGAATTTTTTTGTGTGTGGGGGGGAACAAATTTTCCAGTATTTCTGAATGATATATTTTATGACATTTTGAATAGATACAACATACCAATAAACATGAAATGAAAATATCTTTAAATCTTTACAAAACAAAAATGTAGCACAAGAATCATGACAAAAAATGAAACCTGGAATATAAGTTAGTATGAAATTTTTCCCCTTGCTGCAGTTCTTGATAAAAACTAAAGTTGATACCGATTAGAACACATTTAGTGTTACATATAAACATTTGAGGCCATAGCCTATAAACACACGTCAGAAAGTTATAGCATTTAATATGGGGAAAATCAGCCAGGGGGTGGGAATTTTTGGGGGGTGATCCCAGACTCTATGGAAGTGTACAATAAAATTTTAAAAAGTTATCGCATTAAAAAAAATCAAATACTACTCTTCTGCTTGCATAAAAAAAATTAGTATGAAGGACAAATGAAAAGCACTACTATCAGAACACTTTCTCTTATTTATTCTTCTCTAAAGTAAGTCTAACTTTAAAAAAGAAGTACGATGCTATAAGCAATACCATTCTACACCTTTGCTTTCCAGTTCTTACAAATGGAAAATGAATGAGAAGTACTATTTCAGAAATATAGGTAATTGTATATAAATGTTAAGAATTATATATTTACTGTAAGTTATCCTACATGTTCGCAAATTTAAAACTAAATCCTTCCTTTGAATTAGCATTATATAAAAGGGGGTACATTTTGAATGCTGTGGATTTTATTTAGGCGCTAGGGTGTTCTCAAGCTTTGAATGAGTCTTAAATAAAAAAAATCCTTCATTACTCTTAAAATAGCTAATTAAACAAAGCAATCCTTGACTCATCACCTCCAAAACAAAAATCCCACAAGCTAATATCTAAATTTCTTAAAGTATGATTAAATCCAAGCAGCTTGATGGAGCTTAAAGCCTCATTCCAGCTCTTCAAAAAAAAAAAAAATTTCAGGAGTTACAATTTAAATGAAAATTAAAATACAACAGTAAAAAGAAAAATCCATTACTTCTAGTACTCTAGGCATAATTACAAACAAGATGCAGTTTCATTAAATCATACTTTACAGAATTACCACCTTTTGTGAACATATCATGAGATAATTCAAAATAAATAGCTTTGAAAAAAGTAATGAACAAAGGTTCTGGGATCACACTTCTGGTTTTGAAGGTAATAAGTACAAAATAGTATTATTTAAAACATTATTTTACATATTAATAAATTGTATTTATAGCCCCAGAGTTTTCCGAGTCAAAAGCCTCTTTAATTTGAATATTCTGCACTAATGTGTATTTGATCTTAGTGTGAAAATGCCAGTTAAGTTTCAAAATTTGAACTATTATTCGTTCATAAAAGCATACAAACTTCTACAAAATCAAACCATTATTATTAAAAGCATTCACAGCTGTTCATCCATCGATTTATTGCTTTTCTTTGGAAACCACACCCTCATCCTATCAAGATGCAATTAAACACAATGAGAAGCATGGTAATAAACAGAAATACACTGATGTTTGTTCCAACCGACTTCAAACAAAAATCAGCTGAAAATCAAACCAAATAAAATATGCCCATGCTGTTGTATAAATTTCTTCATAATGACTTTACAAAGAAGTGAAACATGTATACGCACCTGTCTATACTTACCTGTTACCTAAATTAAGACGCACAAATGTCTTGTATATTAAAGTTTCAAGTCCACTGCAATGGACGAATTAGCAAAACTTAAACAGTCTTTAAAGTCAGATGTGGAAGCTTTTAAAACATGTTCAATTTTTATTGAAAATGTGGAAAACACTTTGCTACCATTAACAAAATTAAAGTTTGTTTTCACCAAAATGAAAGAAACAATTCTCCCGTAGCTCGCATCCAGCAGTCAAAGGAGAAAAATTTCTATGAAAGGTAAAAAGAATCCCTAAATCTTTCACTGAGTTTTTAAACAATAAAGAACAGGGGTAAATAATGTACAGATCTTGTTGTTTCAGTCAACAGATACAATTTTGCGTAAATAGCTTCTCCAGTTTTGACATTTTAGAATCACCCCAAAGTCCTTTAGAGAAGGGAAGAAAATTTTAACACCAACTGTTTTCTTTTTAAGCAATCCGTCTTAACGTTTTTCAATTATTTCCGTGTTTCTCTCACGAAAAGCATAATTTTTCTGAAAATGGAGAATTATAATCTAGTTTTGAACATTCAACCACCCACGCCAGCCCCCAAGTCCCGCTCCCTTCCAGCCAATCGGGGTATCAAGTCCTGTGTTTCGGGAGCTCCGTTAGACACAATTTGAAAAACATCATTTTGCGCCCTCCGGGTCTCCTCCCGGAAAGATTCTAAGTGGGGGTGGGTCCCCTAGACTTCCTAAGAAACAAGAAATCAATAGATCCTACCATCGATCCGGGGCGGGGGGGTAGGGGTCCCTGCCGGCAAGCAATCCTAAAGCGGGTGTCTTCGCGGAACAATTGAGCAGCTTGCTGAAAAATGCATCTGCACAAGATCTGCAAACCGGTGGCGCGCGCCCCAAACGCAAAACCTTACACCAGTAAAGGGTTAATCTAGTGATGCCTCCAGAGCAGAAAAGGATCCAAGATCTAAAGGATCTTTAATACGGAAAAATTTTTTTTTTACGAAGGACATTGTCCATAAAGTTATACCTAAAGTGAAAACTGTCGTTGGCTCACATCATTCAAGAGTTACCGGGTTAAGAATTGATGGAAATCACCAGTTGGTGGGGGGGGGGGGTCACCCCCAGGGCGGGACAAAAACACCCCTCTTTCCTCTGCCCCAGAGGCAAAAGACTTCCCAAGAAAAAAGGTGGGGAGTGCAAAATTACCGTTAAGTTGCCCGGGTAAAGACTTTTCAGAAGGAAAACATCAAGAACAGTTGCACGGGTCGCCTTTCCCGGCGCTCCCCCCACCCCACCCCCGCCCTTGCAACATGCTTCAAAGACTACAGAAGGAAAAAGTCTTCTAAGAAAAATGCGACTCGGGGAAGGAAACAGCGAGCTCAAAGCTCCATCTTTCATCTCGCCACGGACACCCCTCCCCCCTGGAAAAAGGACACCGCCTAGAGAGCAAATGACCAAAAGAAGAAGGGGGGGCGGAAAAACCCTCCCGAGCCGGTCGCCCGAGGCCAGCACCCTCCTCAGACTCCAGCTCCCGTCCCGCGCCGTCCCGCAGCCCGACCGAGCCCGACACCTGAGGGAGCCCGCACCGGGACGGAAGCGCGCACGGGCAGGGCGGCCGAGGTGCCCAGCTCTCCTCCCGTGCCCCGGCACGTCGCGCCTCAGCGTCCGGGGACGACCCGGAGCGAGCGCGCGGCGTCCGAGCGCCGGCCACCATCGACCGCGGCGCTCCCACTCGCTCCTCCAGGTCCTCAATTTGCCGCCGACTTTTCAAGTTTCTTGTCAACAGAAGGCGGCCCTCCGCGCGGGGCCGGGGCCGGGGGGGATGGAAGTACGAGGAGTCCAAAAATAAAAAATAAAAGCCAACGAGCCCAGCGTCCCGGGGCCGTGGCGAGCTGTCAGGCAGTCCCGGGTGCCCGCGTCCGGCCCCGGGAGGGCCGCGGGCGCCGCTGACAGGACCGCTGGGCGGCGGCCGCTCCCCGCCGGAGCCGCTCGCGTCCCGCTCAAACCCGCTCCCCTCCCCCGCCCCGGCCCGCGCGCGCCTCGCCCGCCCCGCGGACCCTCGCCTCCTCCTCGCAGGTTTGCTTTAGCGATTAAAAGTGAAGGCGGACTCGGCGCCCACTCCTTGCAGTACCGGCCTCTCCTCCCTCCCCGCCGGCCGGTCCCCCCCACACACTGCTGCCTCCCGTGTCCCCCGCTCTGCTACTTCTTCAAGCTCTTACCGACTGAGCCAACCTTGGCCAAGCACCGGACGTGGAATGCCTTTTGCTCCGAATAATTTTTTGCTGATTTTTTTTTTTTTTAGCGATTTTTTTTTTTTCCGCGGAGTCCTACTGGCGCTTAGACTCTCGGACAGGTTGTCCCGTCCCTCCCGCTAGATTGATGAGATCTGGGATCACTCGAAAATGGCGCCGAAAGCGCTCTGGCTCCTCATTCAAATTCGTTAGAGCCAACCCCGCCGCCCAGGGGCATGCCGGGAACGCGGGCTGCCTCCCTAGCTGTCAATACCGCCTCGGAACGCCCCTGGCGGGCCGACACGGCGGCGCATGCGCACACCCTCCTCCCCGCACACTTCTTGCCCCCTCCTCCGCCGCTTGCCTTGCACATGCGCAGTGTCGTGCTCGTTCGCCGTTTTCCCTTCTCTTCCTGGCTCGCGGTTCTCTCGCCTCCGTGCTTGCGCGTGCGTGCGGCGCGTGTGCGCGGCCGTGGAGAGAGTCTTCAGACGGTGGGCCTCAGAGTCCACGGGAGACGCTGTCGGCGGACACGCATGTAGTCCACCGTTCGAGGTAAACCAAGGACGGTCCTGCTTAGGCAGAACGAAAAACCTGTTAGACACCGGAACGCCTCTGTGAGGCCGTGTATGTAATGGATACCACCCTCCCCCCGAAAAAAAACTAACCCCGCCACTGTGCTACCCCCCCCCCCCGAAGCCGCAGAACGAGCCGACGAGGCAGGCTCTCTGATTCTCGGCTTGGAGCTGTGGCCACCGAGACGTCCCCTCAGGCGTCCGGCAGGGACAGGCACGTGGCTGGACCCGCTGTCAGTGTCCCACGCCGCGGCCCGGGGGAGGCGTGGCCGCCGCTCGCAGCTCCCGGGGCGCCCACCCGGGCCCGCGCTCACTGCCGAGTCCTCCCCGGTGGCCACGGCGCCTGCCTCGAGGCCAGCGCCTTAGGGTCGTCTTTAAACTTTGTGCGGAGTTTTAGAGTTAGCGGTGGGCAATCTTTGGGGTGTCTAAAGCTTAGTTTTTTTTTTTTTTTTTTAATGCCCTAAGTGAACTGAAATCAGCCAAGAGGGCTTGAGTGGCGCAACGCTTTCATAAAACTAGTCAACGCTGCCACGCGCGGACTGTGCGCTGGATGCCGTGCTGAACTAACACGGATTAATCGTGTGCACAGGTCACAACAGCAGGTGTTGTCTTCCAAAAGAGAGACACCTGAGGCTCAAGTTAAGCCACCTGCTCCCCACCCCTCCCCCGCCCCCGTTTCCAACCGTCTTCAGAACTTAGAAGCCAAGTCCTAAGGAAACCTTCTAAAACGACGATGATGACGCCACGTTCCCTTAAAAAAATCTCTTCATGATTCATTTGCTTCGGAGGCTTCTTCCTGCTGCTAGGCTAGTTTAAATGAGACTGTAAAAAGCTGCCAATATTCCTCAGTGATTGCATTTTAAAATTATTTTTATCTGGTTAGTTTTTAATCCCCAATTAGTCTTGTTTTCAAAAGAATCCAACAGTTTAAAACCTGATGTACTGCTCTATTTATTCCAGTTTCCATGAACTGTAACTTGCATGGTAAGGCAATGTGCCTGAAGAAAGGAAATAGGAGAAGCTGACATGGGTCGCATTTTTCAGACAATTGAGAAAGGGCTTTTCACCCTCTTGATGTAGTCAGGAAGCAACGTAGTAAAGCAGTGTACTTATCTGAAGTTTCTGTAGTGCTTCGGTGCAATGTTTAAGTGGGTGGACTCTAGCCCAGACTGCCTAGGTCTGAATCCCATTGCTGCCACTAGCACATCTCTGGTGAGTCACTTTTATCTGTTTGTAAAATGAAGAATTGGGCTCTTGTAAAGATGCAAATGAGCTTAAGATATTAAAGGCATTTGAACCATGCTTGGCCTACGGATATTGGCTATTTGCTGATATTTTCAAATGACTTCTTTAATGAGTGAAAACAAAAATCAGTGCCCTTGAGGTTAGCATTCTTGCTCAGAGCATCTTCAAATGAGTAATGCCAAAAATGAGAAATGATTCCTGTGAGATGAATAAACAGGTTATTTTACCATTCCATAAGTTATGGAAATGGAGTAGTTTCACTGCTTTTTGTGATTATTAACAAAACAGACAGTCTAGATGTGTAGAGTATAAGATGTGTAGAGTATAAACTGTCAGCATTTCCAGCATCCACAGATAATTACATGTTGTCTGTTCTGTAGAATGAACCCGCTGGGGAAGGTTGAGGTAAGTGGTACTCTTGTATTTGGGGAACTTGCTGGCAGGATTACACCAGGATTTTTTTGAATGGGTAAATTATACAGCCTGGTTTCCTCACTGTAGAGTTTTTTGACTTTATTTCCTTTTAGGTGTATCCTGTCAGGAGAATTTTAAAGTGATGATTGAGAAGTAATAATGTTTGTTGGGTGGGCATTGTGGCACAATAAGCTAAGCCTCCACTTGGGCGCCCGCATCCCATTTGGCGGGTGGGGACTAGGTTCTAGTTCCTGCTGCTAGGTTTTGCCTCTAGCTTTCTTCTAGAAGGCAGCAGATGATGGCTGTAGCGGTGGGGCCTGTGTCACTCATATGAGAATCATAAGGCATTCCCAGCTCTTGGCTTCGGCCTGGCCTAAATACATACATAAATAAACGTTTGAAAATTTTATCCAGCACCTGCCATGTATCAGCACTCTACTAAACGTGTACATGTAGTTTTCCATTGAATCCACATGGGATGGATGAAATTATCTCCCTTCACACAGACTAGTTTTATGGAGGTCACTTTTAGGATATTAGAGTCCTCGTTTG